ATGGGAGATGAAAGCAATGCCCGCCTGGGCTGACTTTGATTAGCTTCTCTTTTTTAACATTGCAGCTGCAATTCTCTTTTTCTTCCTCTTCCAAGCATCTCTCTCTTCCCTTCCCCACAGTGTCACAAAAACTGCAGTTCCCATCCCCCACTTCTCTGGGGGGAGTTCAACTTCAAGGAAACCAAACAGAGAGGGAAGGGTGGATGTAAAGGAGGCCGGACAAGATGGGGACCCAACAGAGATTGGTGTCACTTTTATTTTCAATTCCCTCCCCATTCTCAAACCGCAACAGGCCCCAGGAAGGGGAGAATCCTTTCTTTCTTCTGCTTTTGAAACAACAGAGAAAATAGAGCGAGTCCCAAGATTTTTGCACAGCTGTCATAGAGATAAATGACTCACACGAGAGCAGAAGGGATGAGATTCTGGTGTGGTGTGTTAAGTCCCATTGATTACTATCTTCCTCTTGCAAAAGGAGTAGAAGGAGAGCCTGTATACTACCAGGGGGGCTGGTATACACATGGATATTGTACATATCTGGCATATTGATGCACAGAGTCCTGGTACACACCTATGTCTCAGGATGCTCTGCTTGTGGAAACATTTCAGGTAAGGAAGCCCAGCCACTCACAGTCAGGGATGGTAAGCAGAGTTTGCTCCCACTAAAATGTTGTCTTAATAGAAGTGATTGGTAGCCGTTCACCTATGTGAAATAAAGTAAATGGATATCCTCAGAGATGCTGCTGGGGAGCTGGCAGATGTTACTGTCAGCAGAAGATATACAGGCAAATCTTGGTAGTGCAGGCTAGGGGTTAAATGTGGTCTTTTCTACCTCATAATTTATTTGGATCCTGTTGGCCAAAGTGACATGATAAGCTGCCTTATACCAAAAGAGGTTATCAAAGTCCATCCTGCTCAGTCTAGTCCATGCTAGGGATGAGCAAATCCTTTTGTTTTACTTTCTCCCATATTAATTGCTATAAAAGGTCAAGTTCTCTCCCTTGAAGTAATGAAGTGTTATGCAGGGATTCAGAACTAAACTTATATGAGCTACACATGCAAAGCTTTCTAGAAAGATGGGCACATGTGTTAGTTGTGTTTTCTCCTGCACTCACATTTTCTTTGTGCCAAATTTGTGAAGAACTTTGCAGGTTTTAGAAAAATCTTATCAAACAAAATAAAGCAAATAAAATTCTGGACTACTGGTGTCTCTGCAGGAAGTACCAGGAAATGAACCTGGGATCTGCTGTGCACTAAATATCTCTTCTGTCACTAAGCTGCTACAACCCTTCTTCCATGAGGAGGTGGAAGGAAGTATGTAAGGCATTGAATTCCCGCCTCCACAATTGACTAGTGGCAGTTTGTCCTGCCCCACTAAGTGTGCACAGGGCTATAGCCTCAGAATATACAGTGGTAGTTGAAGCAAAAAAACTATATAAGCTTCTACATTCCTATCTCATCATTCTGGCAGGACCTGGATGCCACATTTTAGCTTGTTCCTTTTCCACATGTCACATCTGGCTAATGTAAAAAAGAAGGAGGGAGGAAAGAAAAACAAATCCCAGCCACACATGTTTTGATTGAAGTCTTTTTCTCTTCAAAAAAGCCAACATTAAAGGAAGGTTTTTGCTTTGTAAAACTGGAACTGTAAAATGGCTCTGTAACTCAGTCTGGGGGGATTAAAGGAACCACATGAAAAACGGGTTAAATGGCTGGACATTTACTTCCGACATCAAACTTAAGAGAGAAACATGTGCCTCCCAGGCTGCTGGTAAGAAAGGGGAACTTTTGTGAACATCTCCATATCTTCATTTCGTATGGAAGTAAGGAAAGATAATTGGAATCTGTTCGAGATATCTATATACACATCTACAGATATGTATGTCTATTCAGGTGTATGTATGTGTGTATGTGTGCACGTGTGCATGCATATATCTGTGCATGTGTGTGATTTCATTCATGCCAGTTCCAAAAGGCTTTTAAGGCTAAACCCACAGACACCAGAAGAAAGAATCCAATTAGCCCCCAGACATACTGTTTACACGAGAACTGCCTCGGGCAATATGTCAGATCTTGGAAAATCATTTTTAAGAAGAATAAACATAATGACATGATCAAGCCATCCATAACTAAGCAATAGGAAGATGATGCTCTAGGGCCCATCCTGAGGCATCTTGCCATGTAGTGGTGTTGCCATATAGTGGAACATCATTACCCTGAAACACTCTTCCGTTTTTTTAAAAAAATCATGCTTCTTGGCTTCTGGGAGATGATGGCGATGATAATCATTATCACCATCAGTAAACAGCTGTCTCAGAAGCTATTTGAAATACTGGAATTGGCCTGTAATGTATTTTCAAGTCAGGAGAATTAGAGAATCCCCAGTAAGGCAGGAAAAAAGTCACACAATGAGCCCCAGTGTCCATGTTTGAAGGTATATGGAACTGGAAGGGTAATGTTAGCTTTAGGAGGAATATTTCATTTCAGGGATGGGAAACGTGAAGTCTTCCAGATGTGTTTTAATGGTATGTCACAGAATTTCCCAATGTTGGCTATGCTGCTGTTGGCTGATATGAACAGTCCACCAATATCTGCAAGGCTACATTTTTCCCATTCCGGATTTAAGTCTTCATCCAAGTCACGTAGGATCATAATGCCACTGATAATCTGGCAAAGTTTTGTCATTCAAATCTCATTACAATATACCTGATTTGACTAATAAAAGTACCATATATTGTTTCTTGGCAATCATTTAAAATTAGGATATGAAAGGAAATCTGGAAAGATTGTTATGAAACTTTAAACTACAGTTGGCAGGAAAAAAACTTTTTTCTTAAGGTTGGTTGTGCTGAAAGCTGTGCACCTTTCAGTAATAATAAAACTGCCAATCAAGGGCATTTCCAACCGTGAATGGTCATGCTTTATGTTTTATCAACCCCTTGGTGGGCATTAAAACTTATTATGAAGCTCTCAGTCTAGCACCAGTAGCAACCCCTTAAATCCACATTTGTAACTAGAGCAACCATCCTCATATTTTTGTGAAACAAACCAAGCTCCTGCTTGTTGTGGGTTTTTTGGGCTCTTTGGCCGTGTTCTGCCAAGCCCCACTTGTATTACATTCCCATGAATTTTCCAAAGGACCAAATCCTCTGGGGTTTGGCCCAGGCAGCTTGTGAAAAGCAAACATTATTTGGGGGAACTGAAATTATACATTTACTACAGAGATGCTTCGATAAGGCAGAATAGAACATACACCTTCCATGAGACAAGGATAAAGCCAAATCAATTTCTTTCAAAGATAAAAGTCATACAACAGGTAACACTGCCCCCTCATGTCCAAAGTGAGTATCTCACTCTATCTGAGACAGGATTTCGGGACTACAGAATAAGAAACGCAAGTATGGTGTCAATAATGATGGTGATGGTACTTGGTAGACTCAGATTCAGTACCTGCTAACTCTATTATTTGCAGCTTGATAGTCCTAGCTCACTACTAACAATTTTCACCTTGTCATTTAACTGTATCCTTATCTGTTCATGGGACTATGTATAAATATGCCAGTCAAATAGCCTCACTATAATGTTTGAGGAAGTAAACTTCACCCACCAAAGCCCACAATAAAATATAACAGTCTTGAAGATGTCACCATATTTTTGACTCTTTGTCCTTTGCTCTTTTCTGAAATCCTATATATATTTTCCAATATGTGGTACAAAGTAAATATGAATGGTTACACAAACTGCTTCAGGAGCAAATCCTATTAAATTTAATAAGTCTTATGCTAAGGTTAGGAATGTAAAAATGCAGCCTTAAATAAGAATGGGCAGAACTCCATGTCCACTTTTCCCTATCTTCACACCACACTGGATGGGAAAAAGAATTTTCTGACACATGCCCAATCTTCAACACACCTGTTAAACTCTACTGAATGCAATAGGACTTACCTGTGTTTTGTTCTTCTTTTTTCAAGTTACTGTTGTGCTACAGGTGTATTAAAACACAAGTGGGGTTTTACAAAAGGAAGTGTGATCTTTAGACGCATTAGCTCAGTTCACAACTCATACATCTGACATATGATCTGATTAAAGTGTCTCCCACTTATCATCACTGGCCTCTCCATTTCTCTTCTCTTTTCTTCCTGATATTGGACCAGGGTGAGCTATGATAAAGGGCAGCCCTTATGGAGCAGTAACAGAGTTCACAGTGAGTACAGGAATACTAGGGAGTGTTGCTGTGACAGGGTCAAGTGATGATGAAAGGAGTATTGAGTGGGTGCTGCTGTTACAGGTGGTTATCTAATTTCCCTTACAATGGATGCTGACAGAGTCTGCACTGATGCTACCTTGGGTGCGAGGCCACTAAATATTGAGGGCAAATTAAAACAGAAATATCTTCAGATTGTCTGGCATTGCTAGAAAACAGAAGAGGCCACTTAGCCCTATACAGGCAAAGAGACAGGCCTGTGTATTGGTGGGATACAACCTCTTTCACCCCACCCAACCACAGTCAGTACTGACAGTGGCCCTTGATGAAGTCTGCGCCATAGGCTGCTTCCCTGTTCTTTGTCCAGAACGATTTATTTTGCCACATGAGTGGTTGATATTTGATACTCTGCTCTGATTAACCACATCTCAGCAATTTCCCTCCAGGGGTCAGGCTTGTTCTTTCTATGGATGCATGTTTCCTTACACGTGGCAAGGATAGATAGAACTGCAGGGTAAAGAAAGAAGCAACAACTCTGCTTGGGATATCATCACATTACAAGAAACAATGAAAACCGGTCCCCTGAAAGTACAGGGATCCTACTGAATCTCAACCTCTTGAATTTAGCCACTGTGGATGGGCTAAATTTCATTCATTTATAATGAATTTATGAAAACACTTTTTTTTCATATTCAGAATGAAAAGGACTTAACAAATACAAGTTCAAGAAAAAGCAAATTGTACAATTTTTCCCAATCTCTAATCACAACAGAAGCCTCTATCCTGTTGGATTTCCACATGTGGAATGGATGTTATGAAGTGGCCACAGCTCTTTGATAAGACTGGCAACTCACCCAATTCCCATAGCTGCTTCTGTGACTCAAGATACTGACCAGAGTCTTCGCTGCATTTTGGAATACTCTGACTACCTGCTCTTTGATGGGATGCACATGTGTGTGTATGTGATGGATGTAAAATTGAACTCCCACAGGAATAGCTACTTTTACAATGTTGTGCCTCAGTTGTTGGTCAATGCCCCTCCCCCCCAATATTCTTACATGGAAGCACAGGCATTTCTCTTGCAGCACACACAAACAATGACTCAATGCTCTGTTCAGACAGACCATTTAAAAGTCTTCTGTAATCCCCAGCCATTATGTTACCAGCTGGGCAAAAGAATCATACCCCTCCTCACAATTTCACCCTCTATAGGGAGGACTAAGAAATATTTATTCTTGGCCTCTTTGTTGATGCTGCTGTCAGTCCCCAAGTACATATGACTTTCTGGCTTTAATGAGAAAACAGCTGCACTGCAGCAATTCTGCTGTTGTCCCCTGCTGTGGTAACTGCCAGCTCTTGTATGTTATTTAGACTGGGATCTTTTCGCTGCTTGCATCTTGCTGTACCAAGGGAGCTAATGGCTGAGAAAAGTGGTGCTTTTTCAGCAGTCCCAGTGACGGTGCTGTTGTCTCTCACTTGTGTGCACTCCTTGGCTATCTTGCCACCCCTAGCTGGAGCTGTTCACTTGAGCTGCAGTGCCCAAGTCTGCCTCTACCACAGCATGAGGTAGCAGGAACAGGCAGTAGTTTTAGGGTTTTATGGAAATAGGAGATGGTTAGCAATTTAATTTATTGTGACTGTGGGGGATGTGGGGGGAGCACTTGAGGGATCTCCTTCTTCACATGCCAGGTCAACTTATCTGGTGCTACACATCTTGCTTTAAGTGAGTGGGTGGAGTGACCACAATTAGCAGTAAAGGATCTTGGATATTTGTTTCCATCCAGTACGTAGGTTCCAGGCAACTTTATTTCAATGAAGAAAAAAAACCAACCTTCTCTCTCTAGAATAAATACCAATCTTGTATCCATAGTTTCCGGCATTTATTTTTCTAGAGAATTTGGCTAAAAGGCTGATAATGGGGTAAAACATGTCAATAGGGTTGAAATGATGATGAACTGCAGAGAAAACCTGCCGCTTTAATACAGGATGCATGCCAAGATCACATTTTAGTTCTCTGCATTGAGAGTGAGTAACATTTTTGTTTCCCCCCCCCCCTTTTAAGGGGAAACTCAAATGCAGAGAGAAATCTGGGGAAGCTTGAATGCTGATAATGCCTTTTATAATAACAGATTTCAAGGAGAGATCAGCAGCAGGAAAAGGACTGCTAAATGTCAGTACACAGAGGGTAAACACAGGGCTGGGTAGAATAAGGTGGCTGCCACAGAAAGCAGATCTGGGTGTCTTGAAAGAATAGTAACCGTTTCTTACTTTGTTGTTATTACATTTTCAATACTAGGCTGTGAGAGAGGTGCCTCTAGGGTTTTTCTCTGTCTCATGTCCTAATATTAGTTGGCTCACTCTGTGTTCTAAGCAAATTCACTTGGAGGGTGCTGTTTACAGTTTGACTTCAGGCAGCAAGGCATCTTGAGCCAGCCCAGCATGAGGCAGTTGTGTTGATAATCAAATGTCAAAGAGAAGTGTTACATGTTTCATGTGGGGGTGGGGGTGGGGGTTAGACCAAAACTGGCCTGAAAATCAACTATATCATGCCAGCAACCTACCTGTAGCTAACCTCGATAGCACACTGTTATATTTAGATGCCCATTAGTGTCCCTCTGCCAGTCTAGAATAACTTTCATGAAGGCCACCAGCTAATCATTACATGGTGTTTACTTCCCACACATGTGCACTTAACCCAGGGCAACACATCATTATTGCAGAGCAGGTTACGTATTGTGCTGGCCTAGTGGGTACACTTAACTAATAGGACTTGGTGGTTACAAGTATTGCATTTGTTTATGCCCCAGCAGGCTCTCTCTGAACTTCCATAGTGGCATGACAGTAGATGACAAACCACATGTTTTTTGTCCAGTAGTGTTGTCAAGCCAAGAGATATTGTTTGCCTTAGTTACATGGCTTCAAATTGTAGCTTCAAAGTGTGGAGAAGAACCTGCATACAGAAAAGTAATAACACTGTGGAACAACTGATAAAAAGTGTCACGACTATAACCAGTGCTGAACGTATTAAATTGCCTTGCAGTATGTGATCATCCAAATGAAGACAGCTTCTGTGTTAACCACTACTTACTCTGTTACTGCTTCTCCCAACTGGATATGGAGCACACACATCTTGCTTGCCAGATGATGACTTGTGCAGAACGTTCCTTTAGAAACTGTTGTTCTTTGTCTCTTTAGACTCATCCTCTCTACTGTCTTCATGAAGCTGTTTAGACTGCACACTATATATAAAAAGGAAGATAAAAACATTATGAATCAGGTTTTAATGGGGATAAAGAAGGTGAAAAGCAGCTGCAATTTTTTTGACATTAGCTCTGGAAAAGTTTTAAAACCTCAAGTCCTAAGTGGATATTCCCATACTCTCTATATTTTCCAAAGCATAAAATCAGCTTCAGGACCAACTGAAGACATTTTGCTACCTGAGGTGGAACAGCAAATAGCAGCATTCCCCATAAAGCCATGAGCCATAGTATACTCTCATTGCTTCCCCTTCCTGGCAGTAAACATACACTTGCAATAAAGTTGCTCTGTTAGTTATGGGAGGAAAGAAGAATGCCTGCTCTGACAATCAGACACTTCCAGAAGTTAAAAAATTCTCTCTTCCAATGTTATCTGTAACATGAGCTCTAACCAACACACAGTTTGGGGAGAGGGCTCTCACTACTGAAACCCCTGAAACAGGTATGATATAGAGGTCTTGAAAAATGTGACTCTGAAAACTGCCAACTCAAGACATTTTACTTCCATGAGGCATAGGACAAACTGCACCCCCTGACTCATCTATAGAACCCAGCCAGACTGGCAACAGAATTTCCCTTCTACACTAGCCAATGAAAAGTGTCATCCATGCTACCTGAGGCAAACAGGCCTATCAATTAAGGAACTTGCAGTGGGAAGGCAACCCACTTGTTCTTTGCCTCAGGCTGCAGAATATCTTGGGCTAGTCCTGCAAAAGAGATTTCTTTCCAGTTTACCCACTTCTAGTAGCAACTCGGGAGAGTCTATTAAACCCACTGTATGAACTAACACGTTATGAAATTTCAATGGCAGAGAAAGAAAACTTGACAGCACTTTACACATGTCACTGCCAGACATGACTTGCAATTAATGGGGATGCTTTGATTGATGACTTAATGATGAAGGGGAATTTATATCATCCTCAATCCTGTTATTTTTATAATAATGTACAGATACATGGAAAGGCAGTTATTTCAGAACATAAAAGAGATTAATTACAACAAAATAAAAGGAATAGGCTTTTAATTGATTGCTTTATAGTGTTAGAATTATAAAATACAAAACTGGAGAATTTATGGGCTCCAGAAGGCTGCCCCTACATTTGAAGGGTTTTTTTAAAAGGAGGATTGGGGAACTGCTTTCCTTTTGGGGTTTCTGTACGATATACTGTAAGCACAGGCCATGCTTTAAAAATTAACAAAATGATTTTTGGTTCCTTTCATCAATACTGTTTCCCAATAGGTGAACATGTAGAGATTCTTGCATGGAGATTATCTTGTCCTTCTGTGCAGAGGGTCAAACTGAGACCAGGACAGAGTTTATACAGTAACATTAAAATGTAATAAATTATGCTACCAATCCCAAGTAGTTGGTTACTGCTATATCCAGCCACCATTTAAAAAGTAACTCTTTCCATTTCCCTAAAGCAAATAGTAGTTATTTTAAAACCTAAGAATGCTGCAATATTTTATTTATTAAATTTATACCCCACCCATCTAAACCAAAGTCTACTTTGGGTGGCTAAAGGTGTTCACGGGGGGGCATTCTCATTTCATCCAGCTTGTGCACACTTCAGTACCTACTAAAGAACATGTACCAGTATTTGAATCATGTGATACTGCAGTGCAAAATAAATAAAACTATCCTTTCCATGTTGCAACTGTTGTTCAATATAGCTATTTTTTAGTTGTTGCAAAACTAGATCGACTGTTAGTAACTTGTTATTTGTAATTAGTTACTTCCAGTCTCTGCTAACATCAATTGTCACATATATTTTGATTTGGATTTCATCACTGAGCAAGGGGTTGGACTTGATGGCCTTATAGGCCCTTTCCAAATCCATTATTCTGGGGTTCTATGATCATTTATTTGTGTATATATACATATACACAATGTGATCACTTTTATCCACGTGTGCACTACTGTGGGACCCCACCACCACCACCATCCGCGGGATTAGTATCCACTGATAAATTTATACATAGCCTGAAAAATTAAATGAAAAACCCCAAAAATAATATATTTGTACATATTTCTAGGGCATATTAATGAGAACTGGCCACTAGAGGGAGCCAGAGACCCTGCGATGTATAGCATTCAATAGGAACACATTACTGTACACTGTATGCAGCACCTGTGGGGAAATCCATTCCCTGTGGATGCTGCAGTCATGCTGTATTAAATAAATACTGTACTATTATTTAAAATTACAGTTTTAAAAGGTGTACCAATCATAAACACAATATCAATCAATGTCAGGGCTTACAAAACCAGTTATGCAGAAATGATTTTCTTGTAACTGATGGAATGTTTCAATAACAAAGTTATTACACTACATTACACTCTAACTTTATTTCAATATGGAAGAGCTACATGCTTTTGTCAGTATAACTGTAACTTTTTAGTTTATTTTTATAGTTAAAAGGTGTGGCCTCACCAAAAAGTGGAGAAGGAATAACACATGCTTCAAATGCTGATATCCAGTCAGATATTTTTGAACTTTTTTGCTTCTTGCTTAGTCCTCCAATTTTTATAACATCAACAGCTGAAGAAGTGTCCTAGATTTCCTTCTTTCCTTCCTCTTTGTTTTTTCACCTGGACTGGATGGCTACTTTTAAAAAAAAGTATTGCTGTCATTAAAAATTCTTATGTACATACATACTTTATTGCTTTGTAGCCAATCAGGCTTTTAAGTAAGAGCACGGATTAGCCCAGTCTTTAAAACAGCATTTGAAATCTAATATAAATGTGTATCAACAAGCATAGAAAGCATTAAACAATACAATAATAGGAATAAAAATAATAGAATAAGCATTCTCAAGAAAATTAATTTACTTGAAGAACTCATGAAGCAACAAGTTCCATCTTTCCATGGCTTGTTTAATGAATGTAGAGTTCCTATAGGATATATAGTTGTAGCAATTAAAAATTATTATTGTAATTATGCTCTATTCTTTTAACTATAGAATTACCCATGTTTTTTTTTAACAATTTTGTCTTTTCCACAATTTTAGCCTTTGCATTGTGGTGACAACACCCGTCATGGCTTGCTAGTGGGAGTTTCCATTTGGAGCTTTTTGGTCCAGCATTGAATCCTCTGAAGAAGCACCCAATTCTACCGTGGAGGATCTTAATGGCACTGGGACGATCGTCAAGGCAAGTCGTGCTTTATATTTTCAGCCAGTGCACCTTTTAACTCTATTTGTAGATCATCCCGTGATCCTGACGAAGGGTGGTCTAAAATATTTGAATAAATTAGGAAAGAAATGAAAGATAATTGTCCTAAGGCTGCTGAGCCAACTGGAAGAACCATAAATTCAAGCCTTTTCTTTCTGTCTGTGAGAAATAGCTTGATTGAATCCCATCCAATCTGAACATCAAAAACTGAATGGTGGAAGGAAAAGGTTGCTTTTAAAGAAAATACTTCATTGTTAACTCTTTAAATATTTCCCATCAGTTTTGTTACTTTTTATCTCATAGGACAGCTGGTTTTATTTAACTGTATCAACCTTCCTGTCTTGTTTTACTATTTCCCCTTTTTTGTTGTGCCTTACTCAGAGAACCAAGACTTTTGTTGAACGTATGAGGTAAATGTTTAAATAAATTTTTAAAAAGTGTTTAAAAGGAAACAAAAAGAACACATTTTGCTTCACGGTTTATACAAAAACATCTTAGAAAGCCTATTCTCTCTGAGAGAGAGAGAAAAAAAGACCCAAATATTTCACGTTTCTTTCCATTCCTATTCAAGTTTTAAATAAATAAAGATATTATTTAGCCTACATTTTCTTTTATTAATATTTTAAAAAAATGTAGAATATTAAAACCGTTTTTTTGTTCTGTTTCAGAATATTGTAAGTCAGCTGGAGTACCTCAGGTTGACAGTGAGAAGTGACAAAAACTTTTTTAAAATTAGAAATAAATAAGACGGGACTTGCTCCCTGCTGTTTTTATAAGTCACTTGTATTTTCCTAACTCGTTCTTTTTTAAAAGTCTGGGTTTAATTCAGGACCCCATTTCAGTCAAACAAATATCTTATGCTCCCTTTCAATTAACAATTCAGCTAAACAGCAGAGGACATTAAAGGTCTCCTCAGAGAAAAGCATTAATACAGTTTACTTCATGCAGGAAGTGGCCTTGCAGCCAAAATACGGCCCCTAATTCCACATGGAAATAAAAGTTTTATCGTATGTGTGAGGGGGAAAAAACTACTTAAAGCAAACTTCTTGTCTTGCTCTGACTCCCTCTATATGCACCTTTAAGCCTTAATAACGGTTTTCTGGGCTCACTGCTGAAAGGAAACGAAGTAAAATAGTTAATAACCTCTTTAGTGCAAAACAAGCGAACTAACATTCCCTCAGTTCTTTCACAAAGGTGCTTCTGGTTCTGCGCATGCGCGTCGACAGAACTTGCCTCGCTTACAGCGCAACAGCTTTTCCCGCTCTTTTACCTCAGAGCCACCACCTCATGCTTCCCCCGCCCTCCTCCTTTTGAGCCTGCGCGCCAGCTCCAACTCTACCCAACGAGCTTTGCTCGGGGCTTTCTCGCCTCTTCCCGCTCGGTCTTAGCTCATAATCCTATATACGCACGCGCGGGTTGGCGTTCGGAGGGCTGTACCACCCTCCTTCCTTTCTCGAGGGGACGACCGCGTCACAAGTTTCAAGATTTTCCTACGAGAGGCATGGAAAATCTACCGCGAGGGAAAACAAAGGAGACAGAAAAACCATTATTTTCAAAGGTTTTGTTTCTAGAGCGAGTCTTCCCAGAATTACACCCATAACTCAAACCTAGGACTGACGGGACACCCCTTCTGGAGGCATCAAAGTAGCCCGTCCCCAGACCGAAGCTTCAGCCCGTCGCTTCTGAGGGGAAGGAGGGCGCCGCCATTTTGTCGGCAGCGAGGAAAAGCCAGGGGCTCGAGAAGAACCGCAGGACCGCTCTGGACCGCCTCCCAAGGCCTTAGCCGCCCTTGTCGGTTATTTATCGTTCCCTTGAAGTTTTGCTGAACCGGTGAGAGAGGGGTTCGGAGGGTTTCTGGCGGCTCGGCGTGATCCGGCGCGGGGAGAGAAGCGCGAGCCTGGTAGGCCTCAGTGAGGCCTCGGTCTGTCGTGGCGAGGCCGCGGAACTGGGGCGGGGTGAGGCTGAAATTTATTCCCCGGCGGGACGAGGTGGCGGGGTTGGACGACGACGACGACGGGCAAGGTGTTAACTCGGTTTTTCAAACATAATTGCAAAATATTTATTGTGGAGTTGGGTCCACCTTTCCTCAGACGCGTTGCCCTCGCTAGGCTTATGGCTCCGTAAAGGACACGGTAGGGGAGGAAAGGGTGGATTGGGAGCCACTTTTGGGGCCCTACCCCCCTTTTTGTGATACGTATTTGAAATGTGTGTGTATACACATACGCGTAAATATTTTACAGACGTACGTGTGTGTGTGTGTGTGTAAATAAAACCTTGCTCCTCCGCTGGAGAAGTTCGAGGGGCCAAGAGTCAACACCCTTTTCTTCAGTTTGAAAAGGCAAAGGCAGCCCTCGTTATAGTCTGTGTCGTGGGCGCTTTGTGGTTTGCTAAATATTGAACGGGGAAACTACTCATGAGGCTTCTCTACCTGGAAAACCCTGAAAAAAAGGATCTGCATAAGTCAGAAGTGACCTGACGACACACATCCTCCTCGTTGTTATCATCCTAATTATTATCATTATTAGGTCTGAATACACATTGGTCCTGCTAGTCCAATATTGAATACACAACTGGCCCTGGAGTGTTATATCTTTGTACCTATTTATATGGGTAATTTTTTCAAATTTTATTTATTTATTTAACTTATATGCCACCCACTCTACCCAAAGGTCTCTGGGCGGCTTACAACAATTAAAATTCAATTAATGATAAGGGTCTGCCCCACGGGGTTTACAAGCTGGACAGAACTGCTTTAGAGCTCAGTGGTTGAGGTCTCTGACTGTGGAGCCAGAGGTTGGGAGTTTAATTCCCCACTGTGTTTCTCAAGAGAAAAGCCTGCCTGGGAGGCCATGGACAAAAGCTGCACAGTCCCAGGGATCCCTCCCCTCAGAAGAAGGGAATGGGAAACCATTTCTGAGTCTTCTCTACCTGGGAAAACCCTGGAAATAAAGGATTTCAATAAGTCAGAAGTAACCTGGCCATGGACAAAAGCTGCACAGTCCCAGGGATCCCTCCCCTCAGAAGAAGGGAATGGGAAACCATTTCTGAGTCTTCTCTACCTAATAAATAAATAAATAAAATAAATTTCAATAAGTCAGAAGTAACCTGATGACTTATTATTATTATTATTATTATTATTGAATATATATTGATCATACTAGTGCAAGTGCTGGTCCTGTTTATACAGTATGGGTATTTTTCAAATGGAAGGATAAGGCTCTGCTTCTGGGGGCTTATAATTTAGATTAAACTGCTGGCTAGCTCAGTGGTTGATGTCTCTGGCTGCGGAACTAGAGGTTGTGAGTTCGATTCTCCATTGTGTCTCCTTGTCAAGAGCTGGACTTGATGATTTATAGGGTCCCGTCCAGCTCTGTGGTTCTGTGATTATAATAAGGATGCAGGAGGGACAACCCAGAGAAAGATAGGGAAGAGTATATGGGAAGACTATGCATTTATGGAAGTTTTCAGGCTTAGTTACCCTCGGGCTAGGCTGAGGATCACTGTAGTTCTCATCACTCTTGTACAGTGTAAAAGGATTATGGGAATTGAGGTTGAAAGCATGCGGAAGGCTGAAAGTCTCTTATCCCTATATTGGGATGCCAGCTATTCCTGTTGTAAAAATGCACATGGGATTTTGGAAAGGATGCAGGGGACAGGTCATTGCTCCAAATAGCTTGTGGCTTAGGAGAGAGCAGAGATGTATATGGATGAAGCTAAAAGTGAAAAATGGACAGTTATTTGTGGTGAGTCTGCTTTGATTCAAGTACATTAAGCTGGTGGGTTTTGGAGTGATGGTCTAGCATAGAGAAAACACAGGTTCAGATCCCATTTGTACACGAAAGAGGTCTGGCCAGTGGCTGCCTAAATGTGCCTTTGGTCCAATCCAGTAATATTGTTTTGCATAATAGTTCCTCCTTGAGGTTACTAGGTTTTCAGTGGCTGTGTGTCATATGATGCTGCCAATTTCTGAAGCCGAATGTCCCTATACTGTATATTGGATGTTTAGGACAGAGGCAGGGCTCATTGTTTCCCTGGCCTGTTTTCAAAGAAATATTATTTGTAGAAGAAAAATGCATTGTTGCTGCCCGTTCTCTTGCCTGGCTTAGATTGCTGTTTTTTTTAATTCTATAATACTGTATGTTTATATGCTTCTTTAGTTACTTGTTTCAAACATTTGTTAAACAGTTTCACCATTCAGTTTAAGGGCTCCTGGAGATGCTTGTTGATTAATAGAAACAAAACCGTCCTTGTCAAGAGACTTAAAATCTTAAAAACGTACAGAGGAGACGGGGGAAGTTACATGGTGACAAAACAGAAGTGGAGGAAACCCAGTCACTGGTTCCTAATGTTGTATGGTTCTTGTAAAGCACCCTGGTAGCGCAGGCACATGATGGTTGCCTTATGAGGACTAGCTAGGGTAGAAAACAGTTTGTACTGTAGTAAGGAGGAGCCAGATATGGTTGGATGGAGTAGCCCTTCTTCGTCACTTTTTGTCTTCTACTGGAATGGCTCATGGATAACAGTTGATAGATAGGCAAAATCAATTATTAGAATTTAATGGCCTTGAGAGGGCAGTGCAGCCCTTAAAGTCAGTGTGTGTGAATACTTTGAATAAAATGATGGCCTTCCTGGGAGCCATTTGAATGGATCCGTCTGGAAATGGGATCTTGGGATAAACAGATCTTTGATTTAATCTGCAAAGGCTAGATCCAGGGAAGTTCTCATTTACCAATAGTTATTGATGGTGGCATCTAAATGGACTTTTTCTGTGCAGAGCCTGAAGGCCAAATGCTAAGGTCAGAGTAGGGTAAAGCTTCTGTGTTCATTCAGTATCTGCAGCATTTCTGGAAGCGTCTGCTTGGAAGTTGTAATAGCTAAATAAATCCTCTGCATAAAGAGGCATACTAGCTGAGGGTAGACAGGCCTCAGGAATTTTTCCCTTGGGTCACCTAGGGTCAAGTGGGAAAGTTTAACTTGTTTAATGCTGTATCTGCCTGTGAAAAAAACACCATAGTTAACACTTATCACTCTGTGGGTCTTTCTGCTCATTTCTAGGCTTTTGCCTGGAAATGTCAAAGTACTGTTTGTATACTGTTTCCTGCACTTCAATAGTAGTAGTAGTAACCCCACTTAGTGTTTTTTGTAAGTAGTTAATGCTTCCTTATCATATTTTTATTTTATATATTTTGCTTTTTTTGTAAGAGTGATCTAAACTCTAGGATACATTACAATAAAAGAAAGGAATTGAAAATCTGCTTAGTGATGTAAAACAAATCTGCAAGATTGGTAAAAATGAACTTAAAATAAGCAGTGTAAGGTCACCATTCTGTCTCTTCCTCCAAATAGTTCTTGTTTGGGATTCCCCCGCCCTTTTAAAACTCGAATGTCTTGGCCCCATGGTTCGCCCAGCCAGAATCACTATTAACAATTGTCTTCATAGCATCTTATAGGTCGATTGCTCCTACTCCTCTCATTTTATGATCTGTTTATTAAGCAGAGACTAAGAAAGCATGACTTTTGCAGGATCACTCAGTTAGGGCATTGGTCAGCAGACCATCTTATAGGTCGATTGCTCCTACTCCTCATTTTATGATCAGTTTATTAAGCAGAGACTAAGAAAACATGCCTTTTGCAGAATCACTCAGTTAGGGCATTGGTCAGCAGAAGTTTGAGTGCAGGATTTGCCTCACTTCATTGCTTCATTCCCTGGTGGGTATGTTTTTTGGTTTCTGATCCCTGGCAACACTTTCTATACTTATGGGTATGGTGCTCTTAAAAGCGTCTCTTGGTAACCAAGCAACAGATAGGTTCAGCTTCTATTTGTTTCAGAGTATGTGTGGAAAAACTGAGCAGAGCTTTCTTTTTCCTCCACCATTGACCTAGTAGTGAAAGGGCCATTGAGAGTAGTTAGCTCCAAAAGATGTAGGTGAGGTAAGACTTCCCCCAACTGTTGGGGCAAGAGAAGAAGCTGCTCCAAAAGTGTCTCAGAAAAATCTATTCCATCTGCTAGTTGGCCTGAGATGTCAGAATGAAGGCAAATTATTCATTTAGTTGATGGCAAAGATCAGAGTAAAAGGGCCATCAAATTGTTGAATTTCTTCTGTGAAAGATCAGCTCGATATTCAACATACACATAAGGTTTAAAGAAACATACTGTACCACATTGCAATGTGGCATAGTGGATAGAGTGACAGACTGGGATTCTGGAGAGCAGTGTTCGAATCCCCACTCAGCTATGGAAATTCACTGGGAGAGTGAAACTCGTAAAACTACTCATTGTATCTCCCTTGCCTTGAAAGCCATGTTAGGGTCTCTATAGGTTGGTTCTGGTTTAATGGCATGGAACACACACACACACACAAGGTTTACAGAAAGGTTCCACATCACACTGACAATGTTCATCTGATCTTTCGGTCCTCTTCCTTTGTATTCCTTGTATTTCTTTTTTTCTGCCCTCAGAGGTCAAGAACTACAGATTTTAAAAATACAATTAATGTAAGTTACTTTAGTAGACATTATTGTTTTTTAAAAAATACAACCGTAATATTTTTAAGGCTTATTGCTAGCTCAAACTATTTGCTTATTTAGGCAAGTATGCTCTGGCATATGATGACCTTGTTCAAGTGTCAATCAGTGAGAGACCAACATTATTCAGTGAGAGTCAAAGAATTGCATTGCTTCATTAACAGAATGGAGGGGTGAATATTTTTCACTTCAAGATGCACGCTTGTAATAATAAGCCACACGTGGTTCATTTTCTTCCCCTGTTGTCCTGTGTTTGTCCTGTAGTGCCATCACGACGGAGATGTCGGAATACATCCGGGTTACCGAAGATGAAAACGAGGAACCCATTGAGATCCCTTCAGAGGATGATGGGACTGTGTTGCTCTCTACAGTTACAGCTCAGTTCCCAGGAGCATGCGGCCTGCGCTACAGAAATCCTGTGTCTCAGTGTATGAGAGGAGTCCGGCTGGTGGAAGGAATTCTGCATGCACCAGATAATGGCTGGGGAAATCTGGTGTATGTTGTGAACTATCCGAAAGGTGTGTGCTCAGAGTTCTCCCTTCCCATTCTTTTTAAAATTAATTGTGGCTTCTGGTTTGGTGAATCTGTAAACAGTAGTTCGATTTCCAGACTTCTAGAAGTCAAAGTCAAACAGTGGTTAGGTGACTTAAAATGTTTTTTTTTTTCAGTTTTATGTCAATCAGTGTAATTGTTGGAATTGTTTCCTTATATCTGTATATTCCCTAGCAGCAGGGAAATGAATGGAACATCTTCCAGTAGCCATCCCATTTGACTGTATTAGATGGAGGTACCTGTTGAAAATACCAGGCTGTTCCATCTGATGAAGTGGCCTGCAGTCTGTAGATGTTTATAGCAGATAAAACTGGCTAGCTTAGCCAGTTTTAGCTGCCGTTGTCTTGTTTTTGTTAGCAGACACTAACCCGGTTGAGCTTCTCCTGGAAATGTCTCTGAAGCAGTAGGTGATCATTCTGTCAGAGAAGGCTAGATTGAATTAAAAACTTATTGCATAGACACTGGAAGCATGCTAGCTTGTGTCTGATAGTATCTGGTGGGGAATTCCACAGAATCTGAGGTGATATACTAAATACTTCATTTTGAGTGGCATTCAGATGAAGCACATTTTCATATGTAGGATTTTTAACAGCAGATTTCTGTTTATTGGTGACAGTCTAATTAGCATCATAGCAAATAGAATTTGAATGCTGCAAGTCTTAGTGCAGTTGCTGAGAAGAAAAGCCTATGGACCACAACATTTGAGTCTGTGTTGGGTTTTTTGTGAGGTTGTAATCTCCATCCCTCCATGCCTAGAAACAGATCTCAGTCAATATGGATTTGGGCTGTGCATCACTGTAAATGGAAACTATCCATTGAAGTCTTCTGTTGTGCCCGATGGGAGTCTTTGGTTGTTCTTTGGCCCTTGGGTGCTTATTGTCCTGCCTCTTTTTTAGACAACAAGAGAAAGATGGATGAAACCGATGCCTCCTCAGCTGTTAAAGTGAAACGAGCAGTGCAGAAGACTTCTGATCTCATAGTATTGGGTCTTCCATGGAAAACGACAGAACAAGACCTAAAGGAATATTTCAGCACATTTGGAGAAGTTCTTATGGTGCAGGTACTTAGTTTTCTTTTCCACAAGCAGTGATGTGGTTGGATTGTGAGTTAAGAGTTCTATCATCTGCTGTGTGGTGTCTCTCTAATAAAATACTTGACAGCTTACTTTGGGTTCTGTTGAAGGGAAGAGAAGCCACATTTACAAGTTTCAGCTGAGCCTGTATCAGATAAATGTTTGGGGTTCCCAGTTTTAATTTGTAAACATCCTAGAGTAGTGTTTCCACTAAAGGGACAGTATATACAGTAAATCAATCAATCAAACAAATACTAGTATTTGTTGTTTTTAATAGCCCTACAAAATAGAGTTGATATATAGATTCAAATGTATTACGGTTCTATCTGTGTTATTCTCCCTCACTTGCAGGTTAAGAAGGACATCAAAACTGGTCACTCAAAGGGGTTTGGTTTTGTAAGGTTTACGGACTATGAAACTCAGGTGAAAGTCATGTCTCAGCGTCACATGATAGATGGAAGATGGTGCGACTGCAAACTCCCCAATTCTAAGGTATTTCATGTGGATTACTATAGGCTGTGTAAAAACAAGAACTCCTGTTGTGTAGGCATCCAAAAATCATTCCAGAAAATGGGATCCTGTGAAGTCCTAAACACAGTGGCTGGTATCCAAAGTCTGAAGGGAACATGACAGAGACTAATGCCCCATAGCTGCCCCTCGTGGGTTATTCCTTAGGCATCTAGTCATGACTGAAGCAGTTCTTTAGGTCCTGGTTCATCGCACACATTGTTTATTTTATATAAAACCTTGAAAGATAAAAGGGATTCATTGTAAACACAATATTATTCCGACTTCTCAACCTAGGAATTTAAACTCATTGATTATTTATCTAAAATATTTTTAATCCCACCTTTTTTCTTCTTAAAAAAAAGACCCAAGGTGGCTTGCAATAATGAAAAGACAGCATTTAAGCTAATAAACAGGGAGCATACAAATACTAAAAGGACTAATGAATAAAATACCCAAAAGCAAAAGCAACACCAAAACACATTTAGTGTCGTTAAGGTACAACCATCCATTATAAAAACTCCACTCCACTCAGAAGTCCTTCACTCAGGGAATGCTTGCCTGAAGAGAAAGGTTTTCACCTGGTTGCGGAAGGACAGTTGCCTCCAGTGGTTCCTTGAAGTGGGATAGAAGTTAAGTGGAATAAGTCAATAAATACTGAAAGCCTTTGAGAATACATTAAATAAATACGGTTACCTCGTAGACCTAGAAAAGTGTCTGTCCAGGGCTTCCATTCTAGGGTTGTCCCTTATTGTGTGTGTGGCGAATTCTGTGCACATACAAGCTTCAGAAGGCACAGTTCCAAATCTGAGAATGATTTCCATGGCTGGTTACTGCTTGCTTTGGTTCAAAAAAACAAAACAAAACCCCAACAACCCTGTATTGGTTCTTTTGTAGTCTTGTTCCTCTGTGCCCTTGGGATGTCGGTGATTACAACAGTTAGATAGAAAAGGAATTGTTCATTAACGTAAGCTTTTTGTTCTGCCTTGGTGCCAGCAAAGTCCAGATGAACCTTTGCGTAGCAGGAAGGTCTTTGTTGGGCGTTGCACCGAAGACATGACTGCCGACGAGCTCCGTCAGTTTTTTTCGCAGTATGGAGAAGTGGTTGACGTCTTCATCCCCAAACCCTTCAGAGCTTTTGCCTTTGTTACATTTGCCGATGATCAGGTATCCATCCAAAGCGCCCTTGCTCTCCCGTGTGTGGGCTACTACTTCTTAGGCATGCCTAACGTGGTGTTGGTTGGGAGAAGGTTCCCCCGCCGTGTAATATTGGTTTTATTTGACCACTGCAACGGATAACAGAGATGATAGCCTTTCAGCAGTAGTGACAGGGCACTGGAAAGTTTTGGTCCTGTCTATGTCTTCAGTTTGGGCTGAAGTACTTACCCAGTCTGAGACCACAATACCGGACTAGATGGGCCTTCAGCCTTGTCTGGCATATTCTTGTGTTCCTTTAAATGCTCATCTACATTCATTTTGTATAAACCTAAGTGCAAGCAGTCTATATATAGAAAGACAGATTGCAACCCTCTTGGTACAGTTCCCATTGGGCAAATTCACTTTAAAATCTGGTTTTCTTCCAGAAGGACTTAATCCTGAAAAAAAAAATCTTTGTATGCCAGATAACAGCACTTCGTTGTTGTTGCATAAACAAAGCTGAATCACAGACCAAGATTTGATCATAAGTTGTGTTATTAGCTCATAAGTATATACTAGCTTTAGTTTCCTGATAATACTTTTTTTCCATATCAACTGTTTGAAAGGAAGTCAGGTTGTGGGGGGAAGAGAACTGGAGGAAACTAGCTCTCCTAGTTTGGAACAATTTGCTGGGTTCCTGCAAAGCTTTCTGTATTTCACAAGCAGTCTGCTAACTAGCTGCTTATAAACTTGAACAAGCCAGTAGCCTAGTTGGGCAGTGAACTGTATAAATCGTAATTGGGAGAGACACAGCACTAGATGGCCTTTCGTCTAGACGTTTAATGTGTTCATGTGAAGAAAGGGACTAAATAGTTGCTCATATTAAGCAGGAAGAGTATGAATACAATTCGATTAAAAAATGGAATTTGGAGTTACCTCGTAACTGTTTACTGGGTTCCTCAGTTACATTGAAGAGAACAGTGCTCTTTGGGAATGTTGGACAATGTTTCTTAAACGTTTGTGATTTTGGTTTTGTCGCTGTTTACTCAGTCTCCATCCCTTATTTCTTATAGGTTGCCCAGTCTCTTTGTGGCGAGGACTTGATCATAAAAGGAATCAGCGTCCATATATCCAATGCTGAACCTAAGCATAATAGCAGTAGACAACTAGAAAGAGGTGGAAGATTTGGTGGTAATCCAGGAGGCTTTGGGAATCAGGGTGGATTTCCTAACCGGGGGGGAGGTGGCGGAGGTGGAGGGTTGGGAAACAACCAGGGTAGTAATATGGGGGGAGGAATGAACTTTGGCGCCTTTAGCATCAACCCCGCCATGATGGCAGCAGCTCAGGCAGCACTCCAGAGCAGCTGGGGAATGATGGGCATGCTAGCCAGCCAGCAAAATCAGTCTGGGCCATCAGGTAGCAGCCAGTCACAGGGCAACATGCAGAGGGAGCCGAGCCAGGGGTTCAGTTCAGGAAGCAATTCCTACGGAAGCTCGAACTCCGGCGCAGCAATAGGATGGGGCTCATCAAACACAGGCTCTAACAGTGGGTTTAATGGCGGTTTCGGCTCAAGCATGGATTCTAAGTCATCTGGCTGGGGAATGTAGACAACCTAATACTGATTCAGTGGTGGGGAAATGAGATTTCCCCTCACACCTCCCCCCCCCAAAAAAAACCTAGAGCTCCCGGTAAGTATATTGTAAGATGCATATACTAAAAAGGAAAAAAAATTCAAATCAATTTGTTCAGCGTGTAGTATATTTCAACAGTATTTTTGACACTTTTTTTCTTTTATAAGGGGAAAAAGCAAAGCAAAAGATTAAATGGAGTTTTATAGGTTTTGTTACAATGAGTTGGGGTATTGAGTGGTTGGAAGTGAACTGCTGTTTGCCTGAGTGGTAAACGAACGCGCTGCAATTTGATAGGAATTCATTTAAAGGAGAAAAAAAAAAGAATTCCTCATTTCCTAGTCAGCTGAGACCTTTGCATGTTTCAAAAATGGAAGCCATTTTTCAGAAACTGCATCCTATCCTATTTAGCTTTTTTTTCTTTTTAAAATTTATTTTGATCCCCCGCCATAAGAATTTCTCTCTCTCTTTCTCTCCCTCCCCCTCCCCCCAAATGTCCTGTGTGGAGAATGCAATGTTGGTGTCGGCTTTTTTTCCTTTTAACACTGTCTCCCCTCCTCATACTAAAGTACGGTATGAAGACCTCATTTAATCCTTGCAGTTCATCTCATTTCAAAATGTGTTTGGAAGAAGCACTTCATTGAAAAAAAAGCAGTGCAGTAAAAACAGAACAAAACAAAACAAAACAAAAACCTACCTTAGGAATATTCCTGTCTCCATGCTTTCCTCATCCAAGACTCCCTTCATCCTGCTGCACATGCTGCGTCTTAAGACGGTGGGTGTTCCATTTTTATCCACTACTCTTTTGTTTCATGGAGAGTCGTATTCAACGCTATGAACGCAAGGCTGTGAGATGGAAACCGGAAGGCTTGATTGAACTTTTGAAAACCTTGTGTGGGCTTGGATTGGTGGTGCCGAGGCATGAGAGAGGGCTTGGTATGTGCGAGAAAAAGGAGGAGACGCATGCAGAGAGAGACTTGGTGGTGCATTATGGGATTTTTTTATTTTTATTTTTTAGAAAAAAAAGTGTTTTTTTCTTGGCACGATGTCCCTCGATCCTGTGGCTTTGGTGAGAGAGTGTGCGGAGAGCAGTGGGAGCAGACGTACGAGTGCTGTTTTTTTTCCCCCCCTTGGCATTCAGAAGGACATCCCAATCTGGAAGAACTTTAAGTGGGGGGGAGGGCTTTTTACTTAGTTAACCAATTAGTTGAATGTGTTAAGTGAAATGAATATCTGTATTTTTTCTTCTTTATGTCAACTCTGCTGTGAATGCTGTATGGTGTGTGTTCTTTTCTGTTCAATGATCCTGTAAGTGTGGTAATGTGAACTGAAGGTGGGGGCTTTTGAATGGGAACCTCAGGCTCATGGCGTGCTTTGTGGATTTTTGTCCCCCCCCCCTCCAAAACAAAGCACGATCCTGAGCTCAGAGGTTCTCCTGTGGGTGGAAGTTTCTCTGTCTGTAAGATATCCATATGAATGCTGTTTGCTGCAGTTCTGTGTTTGGATGCTTTTTATAAGATTTGTCAATGTAGGAAATTCTTAAATAAAACTGATTTAAGTAATATGTGTGTGTGTTTGACAGCCCCCAGTGCAAAAGAGTTCATAAGCATTAACATATTTATTTGTGTGTGTTTTTTTTTAAAAAAACCCATGTATCCTAAATTGGGTGAAACTGTTGTAAAATTTCTTTTCTGTTTTTAAGCTTGCCTTTTTCATTGATGTAGTTGGTATCCTATAGCTCAGCTCCAGTCCCATCTTCGTTACCTTTCTGTGACATATACATCTGAAATCCAGTTCAGCCAAATGAGGTACCCCACCCCTGGTGAGCAGTTCCCTCTAAAGTACTTGATGTGACAGTTAGGAGCCCGCCGACCTGTCTTTCAAGATTCCTGTGGCATAAATACACTCCAGTGCCTTCCATTTAGATGGTGTAGAATATGATACAGTATTAAGCAAGACTCCGCAGTTTTTAGTATCAAGGACCAGAGCTTAAACATTAGAAGGAAGTGTTAGGTTTTCCAGTGTCCAGAATCAGAACTACCAGCATTATGGACTCCATAGTCTTAAATAAGTGTTACACTATCAAAATCTTACTGCTTCATCTATGACATAAACTTGCCATTTTCCTTTTGCACCCTGTGGAAGCAATAAATGGACCTCCTTAAACTGATACAGTCCTGCTTCACTCTTGAGTTTGTCCTTGTTCCTTGGGAAGCTAGCTAAATTTGTTGTTTAGTGCTTATGCTGGTGTTACTAGTAAAGGTGAACATTCACTCAAGACCTCCGCTGCAGTGGTTCTCTATGTAAGGCAAGTCTGTGAATATTCAAGAGGAGAAATATTCTTTGATAAATTGCTTGACCTTTTCTGCATCTAAATCAGATCCATTGCCAAACTCTGTACCATCTGAATTTTGCATTTTAGCCCTTGCACTAATACCAGCTACGGCTGCTGAGTAAAACGTTAATATGGTAATCTCGGATCTCCAAAGGCTAAACTCATCCCAGGAAGGATCCTGAGGGGTAAGTTCTATATACATCGCTAGCATGGTTTCAGTAATCTGTTTCAGCTTGTGTTTTTTTTTATTTTTATTTTTAGAAAACAAAAGTTTAGGCTCAGCTTATAAAACAGAAGGGGAAAACCCATGTTGTGATGTTTTAATGCTGCTAGATCACTTAAGGGCTCTAATCATGCCCTCCCCAAATGCTCAAGTATATTAGAAATGTTTGCAAACATTATTCGTATCTTCAGTTTTTTTTCCATTAGTGTTTAAAGTGAGCTAATAAAAGGTATTCTCATAACTTGATTGTCTGGAGTCTTGTTTTGCTTTAGCTTTCCATAGACCTGCATCTATTGCACTAATGTGATTTAAAGTGGGGAAATAAGGAACACAGTCAGTTTAACACTGCTAAAAGGATAATCTTGCTAATGAGCTTCATTTAGTAATAAACAGCATAGTAATTTAACAAAGGCCCTGTGTGAGCAAATGTACTACTTGTTTCAGTCACCTGCTGAGCATCTCTTAATTACTGAGGCTTTGCAGCTGAAATAGATGTGATGTTGACAATTTTCTCTTGCGGTTCAAATTTGTGTGGGTGTGAATTGAGTCTCGGAGCACTTTGGTCTCAGCAGTTGCAAATGTAATGTTGCAGCCGATTGAACAGCACCTCTAGGGGTCTTGCGCTTTCCCTCTGAGCTACATACATCTTTTTTTAAATGTGTGTTTGTTTCTGGCTGGTGGTATTACCTATTTATATGAAGTTGTCTGAAATATTTGGGGGCTTGTCACTCATTGGGAAGTTTTATCACTGCTACAGTGGTTGTCAACCTTAATGCTTGTTGCCGGGTATAAATTTAGAAGGTGCTGAGTTTAAATCAAGCAAATTAGCTCCAGGCATATAAATTGAATGAATAAATAAATAAATTGAATGAATAAATAAATAAAGAATAAATAAAATCAAGCAAATCAGCTCCAGCAGATGTTCAAGATTAGGCCTCCTCAATGAGCTGCAGAAAGGAACTGACACAGGTTTAATGTATTTAGATCCAGTATCTTGAGTTTGGGAGGATACTTAGGCTGTAAATCTGTCAGTGGCAACTAGCATATTCAACTAATTCAACCTTTGCTTTTGGAGAATATTTTAACATCTCAGTGTTGAGTTTAAGGGAGGAGCTCACATTTCAGTTTGGCTCAAAATGGACAGCTTTTCTAATACAGCGGTTTCCACATTACTTTATGCAGGGAGGTGTAGAAAAGAAGTTGGCAAATAAATTATTCAGTCTGCTACTCCAGCTCAGCTCAGCTCACTCAAGATGAAGAATAAAATCGCTCATTTATGGATTTTATGGCCTGGTAGAAGATTCACCACAAGAGGGAAGAGCACGTGGCCAGCCCTTCTGATAATATAAATTTGGGACAGGGAACCTCCAAGGTGTTCTTGTTGTATTCAGCCTGTAGCTGTTTATGTGTATCATGGCACTGGGACAGAAAGGAGAAAAGAGTGTGAGAAGCTAACTATTAAGACCACTCTCTGGCCTGCTTATAAAAAGTACTTAACACAAGGCTGGTCTTGCTTCTAACTGTGTGATTGCCTGTTTTTTGTTTTATTGAAAAGTGTTCTGACGGAGCAGTAGATCAAGTAACATGCCAAATATAAGGGCACAGTTATGTGTGTGTACTCATACGTAAGACCCAGTTAGTTTGACAGAGACAAGGAGATGTACATAGCATTGCAGCTCTAGAAAGTTATGGAACAAAGAAGACAACTTGAGTTTTATTTTGTTGAGATCAAATGTTAATGATCTGTTACGCATTTTGTGCCATGATGTCTTTGATCCACGAGATATAATTCGTGACTTTGGTGTAAACGCCAAAGACCTCTGCAGCACCACAGTCTAGTCCCCAGGACACAATGCCGCCAATAAACCGCTTTCCTGTCTGAGAATCCAGAAAGACTAACGGACCTCCACTATCTCCACTGCAAGAATCCTTGCCCCCTTGCTCATGTCCGGCACAGAACATGTTTTCTGTCAGCACCAACGGCTTTCCCTCTATCATCCGGTTTGCAAAGGATGCTTTGCACCTCTCTGGATCCACAACATCTAGCTCAGTGTACAAGAGGAAAGGGGACTGCCTCCTTTTCTCTGTTCTTCCCCAGCCGGCGACGGCGCCGACGTCACTCGCATTCACGTGGAATCTGCTGCTTTCCTCAGGCAGGCAAATGGGGGTGATGTTCGCATGGATGGGGACTCGGTATTTCAGTTTGATCAGAGCTATGTCGTTGTCGAAGTTGATCCCATCATTGGTGAAGCCCGTGTGAATGAACACAGATTCTGCCCATGCCTGATGGTAATGAGCAGCTCGTTTGTTTAGTAGCCCCATTTTCAGGTTCAGGGACGAAACGTCTACCAGGTTGGCAATCACATGAGCGGCAGTTAAGACCCAGTTATCGTACAAAAGAGCTCCACCCCCCATGGTTCCATCGGCATTGGTGATCAGAACTTGCCACGGGAACTGGCCAGGCAATGCCTTCGCCCCACCAAAGATGCGCCTCAAGACGTTTGAGTACTGGACGCCACAAACTGTCAAGGAAGAAAATTCTTAACGTTAGGTTTGGGATGTCTAAACCAAGTCTTAACCAAGACTTGGGTTGTCAGAATGTTTCTTAGCGGCAGGTATACCAGGAGTTAGCAGAGCAAACTTTTGCTGAACAGAGATATTTTAGCAGCATAGAGCAGCAAAGATTCCCAATTTCTGGCATATATTTGCATACAGTAGTGCCTCGCATAACGAGCGCACTGTTTAACGACGAATCCGCATAGCGATCTATTTTTTGCAATCACTAATGCGATTGCATTGCGATGTTTAGATAGGGAAAACATCGCATTGCGGTGATCGGTAAGCGTTTCACTTATCGATCTTCGCATTGCGATGTTTTTAGAAAGCTGATCGGCAGTTCCAAAATGGCCACCGGGTAACCAAAATGGCCGCTGCAAGCATTTTCACGCGCTGCCCTCGCTTACCGAGGCGGCGAAAATGGCGGCGCTATGGAGGATCTTCGCTCAATGGTGAGGTTTCGCCCCATAGGAACGCATTAAACGGAGTTTAATGCGTTCCTATGGGGCTTTCCTATCCGTATAGCGATGTTTCCGGATAGCGACGATTAATCCGAAACGGATTAACGTCGCTATGCGGGGCACCACTGTATAGGCTTCCTAAATACCTTGTTCCCCTGAAAATAAGACAGGGTCTTATATTAATTTTTGCTCCAAAATGCATTAGGGCTTATTTTCAGGGGAGGTTTTATCATGTACAACAATCTACATTTACTAAAATGCAGTCATGTCATCTTCTGAATGCTGCACAATGGTGGAGGGTGGGGTTTCACTTAACTGGGGCTTATTTTGGGGGTAGGGTAGAATATACCAGATGGGCGGGATATAAATTGAACAAATAAATTACGAGCATCCTGAAAAATCATACTAGGTCTTATTTTCAGAGAAACAGGGTAATACTCCATTGTTTGAGGTAGAGATGGTTGGACAGCATCTTGAGCCCTCTGCTTTCAGAATGGGGTGCGTGTCTGGAGTAACCACTGTTCCCCATCAAGTTCTCTGCCCTTAGGAAGATACCTGTAGTTCACTAAGTGCTGGGAATTTGGAAACACTAGTTATCTCCCATCACACACATTTACAGTAAGGAACCCCTTCTCCCCATCCATGGGATCAGTATCTATGGATTCACTTAATCACTGCCTGAAAATATTAAATTAAAACCCCTAGAAATACATATGTATACTTATTTCCATAGTGTAATTACCAGAACAGGTCACTAGAGGAAACCAGAGACCATGCAATTATAGTGTTTGATTTTTCTCTATTTCCTGGCATCTAGCTTAGAACTGATCCCCGTGGATGCCATGGTCCTACTCTAGCACGGTTCATAGGGTAGCCGTGCCATCGGCGGATTAGATATTTGCTCATAGGAATAGTTTTTTTAACTGGTTATGTATTCATCCTGCCTTGTTTAATTTGTCTAAAAAAGCATTCAAAGCAACTGACCGCTCCAGAAAGCCTAAAAGCCTTAAAACCATGATGACAACCAGTAAAAATTAAAACAATTGAAAAGGCTGGATTGAATAAGCTGTTTTACTGCAAGCCACACTGTTTGTTAGTCCAGTTAGCTGAAAATTTGGGGAGGTGCAGAGAGGAGACTGAAGAGGCTGGGGACTGAACTTGGGCATTCTGTGTAAAAAAAGTGGCTTCTGTGTTTTTAAGTGACTCTGAATATGAGAATTTTAAGTGGTGTACTTGTGCTGTCGTTTTTGGAATGTAACCCCCTCCCCCAACATCTTGAAGCCTGAAAAAGCAAAAACATGTATTGTGTCATATGAAAATTAAGCCATTATCAGCTTGTTCATTCGGCGAGCGTTTAAGAAAATATTTTGTGGTATTTAAGATAGAGTACTCCAGTAATGTGTGAATGTGACGTACTGTTTCTTTCACTAATATGATTGTCTCGCCTGCTAGTATTTGGGGTCAGAAAGGAGGTCTTTATAGATTCCTCAAGCTAGAGAATGGGAATTAGGGGATACCCAGATTTTTGGACTACAACTCTTAACTAGGCAGGTCGATATGGCAGATGGCAGATGGCAGGTACTGATGGAAAAGGGGCTGCTTCCCTGAGACTGTTCTAGCCACTTAAAAATCTAGGGAACAATAAGGGACAAACGGGAGATAAAGTGTGTATACTTCCTTGGAAACGTTCACCATTAGCAAAAAGGACCGAAGAAATATTTTCTTCAAGAATTAGTGTAGCTGTTTTTAAAGACCATCTTCAGGTACAGTTTGCCAGGGACCCTGGCCACTGTCTTGGAATGGTTTAAAGGGAAGATGGCTTCCTTTGGAAGGAGCATTTTAGGAATTTTCTTCCCCTTCAGTTCAAAGGGGCACAGGCCCTAACAGAAGACAGCAGTACAAAGCCACGGCTGTTCAGTCCCTTGCGATAGATGTGGTGGGAGGCTTGCTTTGTATGCAGAATCCTACAGACTCGGGAAGACTGTGTTATTTATTGCAGTGAGGCCAGGCAGGATCTTGTGGCATTTTAAGTACTGACGGGTTGTGCATGGCCCAAGTTTTGGTGAGCTGTGGCCCACAGCCGAATCTGACAAAATGCGTTACGGTCTGCAAAAACTCAAGTACAACAGGTTAGTTTTCACTGCATGTCTCAAGACTGCTGTAATTCATGGGAAGAGCCTGTCTAAAACCAGAGAGCTGTAAACCAAGGCAAGGGAAGCATTTGATCCTCTGAACTGTTTCAGACAACTACCTGTATAAGATAATGGGTGGGGAAAGTCTGACTTTGGGGAACCAAAACCAGTGTTGGGGTGTGCTGACCCCTGAAGAATAGGGAGTGGGCGGCCTCTTGAATATAAGGCAGATGTTGACATGCCAGGTTTTGAGGGTGAAGTTGGGGTGAAGCCAGGAGATGGCTCACCCCTGCCTCAGTGGATCTTTGTCCTGCCATAATATGTAAGACTTACTGTTCCAGTGACTGAATTTTGGAAATAAAAAGGAAAGTTCCAGTACATATATTCTAATCCATCTTGCGACTGATGAAATATTCAAGACCCATAACTTTATGATGGAGCACTGGCAAGCCGAGCGTGTTAACTGCTCCCTTTTCTCCCCTCTAAACAAGAGATGAAATCTATCATCACAGCTGCCGTGTAATAGGTTTTAAAACAAAAACTTGGCTGTTTTATATGTCTTAGTTTTCAGAAATCCCTTCTAGTTTCTATCAAGAGTTAACAACCATCAGCATTGTTGGGTCAAAATGGTGATAGTATTTTTGCAAAGTTGGTTTGTCTTCTTTTATAAGCTGCTTATCCCTGCCTTTGAGGGGCAGGTTGATTTCAGTGAATATAGTTTATTCATAATAAAAAATGGTCAGTATCCTGTCGCATAACTTCCCTTATGCAGTGGGAGTCATGTCATCAACTCTTTACTTATTAAAGAGCTCTTTTTTATTCCATGCTATGTGCAACTGCTGAGCAGTGTTGTGACACGTGTACTCCAAAACTGAAGAAGTAATTCTTTAATTAACAATAGTTTGTTGCTGCTGGGCAATGTTACTCCGGTTGTACAGGCGGAGCTATGCAACAAGGCCAATGACCAATGTATCAGAAGTACGTAGTGCTTTATTTTACTTTATATATTAATATGTTTGTATCCTGCCCTATACATAAAGGTCTCAGTTCTGTACAGATTTCTGTACACTTTAAATTGAGCTGTTAACAGATTCTCTGGCTTTCTTTTGAGTTTCTGCCCTTAAATGTTTCATCTGCTTTTTTTATTACAGTGACTTCAATACATGTTTCTTTTAAAGGGGTTAATTAATTAATTTTAAAAAGGGGGTTTAAAGTGGGATAATTGGGTGGCAGAAAGTGGGATAAGAACATTCACTTCTTCACAACTTATGAAGCTGCTTCATAAACCCCTATAGAACAAACTGTCAGAACAAAGAAAACCACACACTAGTGAGGCGGTCCCAGGAAGACATCCTGCCCATGTATTAGATGGCAGTTTCGCACGTTACCTGGTTCACAGGTGGGAGGCGCTTTCTTTCCCTTGGAATTTCTCCAGTAGCCATCGGGGGCACAGTGATAGCTCCCTGCATGAAGGTTAAAACACTCAGTTAGAAGTGTAGGTATCCGTCCTTCAAGAAGCAGCTGGCTACTTCTAGTCAGTGCCGTTCCTGCTGTTAGTCACCTCTGTGTAAAAGCTCCCTGTGAATCCCATTCTCCCTCCAAACAGCTGGAAATTCCAGGTTTCCATCAATATAGTTCTCTTTTATCGCTCTGGCTAACATTTGGTTGCCTGATCGACTGTAGGTGCTGACAGCAGACTTAACTTTCGTTCTAAAATATTCACGTCCTTCCACCATTTAGGGTTGGCCGCATCCCTGTCGCTGTAGAAGTTATAATTGCAAGGCCAGAGGAGTAAAGCTTTCTTGCCTTAAGTTGTAAGAAAGCGGTTCTCCTCTGTAAAACTGTCATGTCGTTAGGCCTTTTGTACAGCAGGCCACTCCTGGTTTCGGTCTCTGATTTTTCTTATCAGAATATATGCATATACACTGCTGGGGGTGGGGTGGAACCAAGGCACGGTGTCTTTCATTTATGGTTCTTACCAGAAAGCCCTGCTTTCAGAGCATAGAAGGGTGCTTCACAGTTATATTTGATCTCAGCTTGGTACGTGGTAACGCTGGGTCTCGTAACATAGACCAGGGTCCCGTTGGCAACTTCCTCGGCCGGGCCGCAGTCAACAACTGCAAAGCAAAGATCAGCTTTAGAAAGACTTCAGAACAAAAGAGGATCCAACCTGCAAAGGAGACTTCACTACAGACACATTTCCAAGTATTTCCTGGGAATCCAGTGTGCTCCTTTGGAGGGCAGGGGTTCCCAAAACAGGATGGGGCAGTTTGTGGCTTTTTGTGTGTTTTTCTAGGGAAACCCCATCATCCCCTCAACACCCTGATGGGAGATGGGAGTCCGAAGAATACCTGAAAGCCCAAAGGTGCTTGCTCATCTCCCCCAAAGGCACTTGTATTTCGTTGAAATAGTTATAAAACAGGTGTGAGGTGTGCTGAAAACGGATGGCTTATTTAAAAAAGGTGAGGAGGATTACCTGTCTTGCCTGTGAACCCCTGCTTTGGATGGCTTGTGGGCAATACATTGGGAATGGAAAGAAAAAGCATGCGCGGAAACATCGTTTTTGTTGTTGTTTGAAAAAGATAGCTAAGACTAATAAGAGCAAAGACATGGCTGACCAGAGGTCCTAGGAAGACTTTGAGAGGAAAACAGTAGGGGGGAATTTTAATGTTTTTGTAACAACAGTGCAGCTTAAAACTGAGGTGGCTGCTGATTTGTCTTCCAGCTGAGAATATTCCAATGAAAGCAAATTTTATTTCACTCTGGTTCAGGCATCATTTGCCTCCCACACTCTATTTTTATTTTATCTTATGAGAGAGTTTTGTGCTGGCAGACGGACTATAGGAGCCATGCAAGAAATAATTTAAAGAGTAATCTGCTCAGCTGCTGTGAATCCAAAGACCGCTGTACCCCCTTCCAAAGCCAGAGTTTAACCTACTGGTGCATTGAGCCATAGGCCTGTTCCATGTGCCATCCTTTTGACATACGGCTGTGAAGGATTCTATGATGAGCTCATTCTGGGTAGAGAAAGAAGAAGAAAAAACACATCCATTAATTTGCCCCCACCCCCCGGTTAAGATCATCCTAGCTCTAACAGTTTAAAAGGAGGGTCTCTTTTAGGGAAGCACTTTTACTACAATCTGAGACTCTACTTGCCATTGGTGATCAAAAATGTAATCCAAACAGTGAATGTGTATGTTATATACTGAAGGCAGGGAAGGCTGGGTCTGACCACTGGGGCACAATCTCGCATGCTTCTGCATATATTTTTCTTCATAAACTAATAGTAATAAATACTAGAATGACTGAGTGTTTTCCTTGGTCCCCTATTGTGAATTAATTCTGTTAATAAGAGAAGATAAAATCCCAAGTGTGAACATACTGGGATTGACACATTTTATATGTTAGATTTACCATATAATCTTGAATATAATCTTGAATCAACTGACTTCCTTAACACCTCCCCTTGTGAAAAGCCGTCAGAGAAAACTTGGAACTTTTGGGGTGGTGGTGGGGAAGTTCCATGCTTTAAAGTTTTTACTAGTTTGAAGCAAAAAACGCGCAGCCTTGGAACGTGTAAGCTTTTCTGACGGGTGGGTTTTTGTGGCAGCAGTTCCAAACATGAGAGAGAGAGAGCAGGAAAACTGGGGGTTAAGATCGTTTTTTAAAAAAAGCAGGGGATCTGTAGAGGCCAGGAAGAGATAGCTGGAACATTGTGAGTTTTCAAAGAGCAGGGTGGAGTGGAACAGTTATTTCTGGAGAGCAAAAGAACTGGAGGAATGATGCTGGGGCACTTAACACTCCTCTTTCCTTTCATGCTCGTCGAGAGCTGCCCTTGTACTGAGGGAGAGCAAGAGGGGAATGTCCTCCCTCCTTCCTTCTAGTCGACATGCAGTTGTTTCTCAGGGGTTCGTATCTAGAGGGATCACTTTGTTAACTGTAAACCAAAAGCCACACCGTCCCCCAGCACCACTGATGATGTCTCAACAGGCTGTTTTTGATGTTGCTATGAGTGTAGCTGCCCCTTTTCTTGAACCTGAAATGCTGTTCCTTTCACCAGATTGGAAACAGACAGTGAATTTACTGTTGGGTGATTTGTGTGAGAGACAGATGCAGTCGAGTGACTGCTGCAGCACCCACACCTCAGTTCCAAATACCAAAGTACATGCACAGGAACACTAGAAGAAGAAAACAGAAGCCATGTAATACTTTTACCTACTTCCAAAAGTACATAGCCAACATCGCAGGAGAGATGATAGGACTCTTTCATAATATACTTCGCTTGCACTGGAGCGATCTGACCATGAGGTGGTGCTTTGGGATTAGGGCATGGCAGAGCTGCATAAAGTTGGCAAGGGAGTAGAAATCATTAAATCGAAACTTAACATTCCCAGCAAATCAGAATTCCATATGAACATCAGAACCTGGGATCTGGTTATCTTGTCTTGGTCCCCTTACTAACCTATTAATGCACACAGTGACATGCTTTTATCTTCTTTGGGCTACTAACAGCACCAAAGGAAATGTCCTTTGACTTTCGTTCAGAACATGGATCCATCTAGCTCAGTATTCAAGGGATATTCAACTTTGGGCCCTCTAGAGATTTTGGACTGTAAACCCCATAAGCCTTAGTCTTGCACAGGATGATGGCTGCTGTCTAAAACATCTGGAAGGCATGATCGCACTCGTACTGACAGGAGGCAGCCCTCCAGAGCAAGACCCGTCTTTCTCATCTGTACCGGGAGATGCTTGACACTGAGCTGAGGGCCCCTTAATGTTCAAATCATGTGAAGTTGGGCCTTTCTCCAGATGGCTCAGATGGAGGGGGATCACCGTGACCAGCTCTGGAGAAAACTGGTTTAGGAAGTCCTTTCTGAAGACGGCTTGTCTCTACGATTCAGAGTTCCCTCCTTGTTTCTGAGCTTTTGACCAGTATCCTGTTGAGCTCATCCTGAACAGCAAATCCAGCTGAGGTAGTAGCATGAGATTGCATCACTTGGCCATGCAGAGAGTGGGTTCGCTTCTTGGAGATTGTCACTTCTCCAAGCCATTCAGTCCCACACTGTTATGTTGGTGGGACTTGGTGCTCAGCAGAAGCTCAGTAGGCTATTGAGCCTTTTATTTGCCGCCTCCTACCATCCTATCCAGAATTTGTTCCATAAACATGCAGCCTGCTCAGTGTATTGATTTAGGTGTTTTAGGTCCTGAGAAAAGCTATTGCTCAATGGTGGAGCACACATATGATATAGAAGGTCCTGCAGTTACTCATTGGGTTCCTCTTCCTAAAGGAAAAGCTCTAGCTTGGTGGTAGGACACATTCCCTGCAGAACGGCCCATATTCAGTCCCTGGCAGCATCTCCAGCTGGGCCTTGGAAGCATCTGAAGCCACAGAGATCCACTTGGCAACCAGGGTAGACGGACTGATGCTCTTAGGCTTCCTTAGTTCCTAGCCCATGAGGAAACTGCCCTCTGAGATGGAACCTCTGCCAGCTGTTGCTCACTGGTCGTGTCCCCCTAAGCCTAATTGTTTTCATTTCAGGAACTGCATGGTCATTTGGAGGGTGCAGGTGGACCGAGCCACGGAAGAAGAGCAGAAGAGTTGGGGACCGAGGGAGGCAGGGTGGGGCATTTGACTGCAGGCCTCCAGTTGGGTTCTGTGGGCCTTGCCAGATGTTTGATGAGGCCCATCCCATCAGGCTGACCTGGCTTTGCTGCTCCTGCATGGAAAGATCCGTGGATTGGGTGGGGGTTCTCAACATTGGCCCCCCCAGGATGGAGGTCAGTTCTGGTTTCTCACTCTTGCGACCTTGTTTCTGTCTTGCCCCCTTTCTACATCTTCCATTTGTAACCCACCCATGTTTTCCCCCCTACCACTTCCACCTTTTTTTCTTCTTCTTGCCACAGATAACCCATTAAGGAGAGAAAGACAGAACGGCTGCATAATGCCTTTTGACTGGTAGCGCTAGGAGCCGTCCATCTGGAAGGCCTCCCTAAGTCTCATCAGAATGTTCAGAAGAGCCCTGCCGGATGAGACCTGAGGCCCACCTCACCCAGCATCCTCGTTCCCCACCGTGGCCAACCAGATGCTCACAGACGGGACATGGCAACGTAGACAATGGCCAACATATGCCATGGTTGCCCACTCCTTTCTCAGACAGACCCTCTACCTGTTGTGTTGTATCTGAGCTTCCATCCGGTGTGAATGCCGGAGGGGTCGGTGGTGAACTGGATTTCCACGTTGTGGCTGCGTGTCTCAATTTTGGGAGGAAGGGTGTTCCCACAGAACGGGCCGAACTCTTGCTTGGGTGTTTTAATCTGGAACAAAGAAAGGAAAATCTTGACATTCGTAGTTACAGCCCGTGTGTCTGTGTCTGCATGATGAAGACGCTGTCTCTTCCTTCTCCCTCGGTCCTTGTCCACTTAATTTTGCTTCCATGTGGATTTTTTTAATTAAAAAAAATGAAAATAAATAAAAATTGATTTTAAATGTGAATTGTGCAAGACAGAGCTTTGCCATTGGTATGAAGCCATAGATCAGTGTGCCATAGCAACCGTATTCTGATGAATATCCATAAAGATCTTCATCAGGGTAATGTATTCAAGGTTATGCGCCACCTGAAAATATTCAGAAAAGCGGAGGTGATGGGGGGGAACATTATCAGTTTCCTAGGACTCTCTCTTACTAACTTCATAGTCACCTCTTTAGAACAGAAAAACTTTAGGGAGAGAGAAAAGTTGGTGGTGCACTCAGACAGAGAAAGAATCTCATCCATTTGCTCTGGAGGGGATCACTTCATGGCAAGTGATCTCCTTTAAAGCGACTCTTCCATCTGTATGGAAATTGCTCTAGCCCAGTCCTCAGAAAGAATATAGCCCTGCCCCTTCATTGACCAGAAAAATCCAGCATGAGCATGGATCAAGACTGGGCTGGTTTGCCATGACCACTTGGGAAATAGCTGATTCTGAACTATGCGACAAGTCATCCCCATCTGCCTCTGATTGCACCCTGCGTCACCTACAAATCGTTGAAACGTTCAGCATGAGCATTTGCAGCCTGAAGGCAATTTTAAACAAATGCAGAGAGGAATAAGCTTACCAAAGAGTAGTGATGCTTTGAGAACACAGAGAGGACGCCCAACTGACCTTAAGGATGTCATAAGGGCATGGGACGTCTGGGTGGGTTTCTACATCAAAGGACTCCACGAATTCTAGGATTACCATAAATCCCTCTTCTACCTGGATGCCATAATTGCACTGGGAAAGCTTGGGGTATGGGTTGGGATAATTCGGACTGGTGATTTCTCCAGATCTTGCTGTCAGCACCGTTTTGGGACAGTAAGCTGAAAGAAAGAGAACAGGAGTACAAAGTTTTCCTCATGGGATCAAATATCTGTGCACATGATCTTTTTGTAAAGGAGAAATCGTCATTTCTAGGGGGAATTAGACATTTCCCCTATCCAGAGAGTTCCAGTTTGTTCTAAGCCAAAAGGAGATCTTGAAGAGAAAGAAGGGCCAAATAGAAATCTTTCCGGTTGTTCATGGTGAGGGTAGTAGCAATGAAGAGGGGCAGTGGCGAACCTGTTGTTTCCATTTTTCAAAGAGGGACCAGCCATCGTTTTAACATCAGAAGTTGCTTTCACCAAGTCAGAGTCGTTTTCTTCCGTAATTCAGTATCATGCACTCTGGTTTCCTAGGCTCTCACGCAAAGAGAAATCTTTGTAATCTCCTCATTGACCTTGGGACCTTGTGCATTTAAAGCGTGTGTTCTGCCCTTGAGCTGCCATAGGTGTTTTTTTTTTTGCATGTAGGAAGAATGGAAACCGTGTTATATCATGCTAGATCGTTGGTCTCTCTTGCTCACATCCGTCTGCATTGATTGGTCACTATTCTCCAGGGTCTTGGGCAGAGAACTATTGACTTTTGCTTAATCTCTGTCATGCTTCCTTGTGAGGAAGGTTCTCTGATTCCTTCAGTCAGTTTAATTGCTCTTTTCTGCACCTTTATCTGAAGAAGTCTTGGCCAGATGAGCTGGCAACCACCTGGGTCACCTAGCCATGGTCTTTTGTACTCTATGATCTCCCATGCTGTATTTCTTTTTAAAATTATAGTCTATATTCCTAAAAGTCCACCTATATGTCTAAAGTAGCACAGGTAGATCCTTGACCACTCCTGTCTTTTTTGCGGGGTGGGCTCCATTACCTCCTTTTTGCTTGTTTATTTTTGGAGACAAGAGAATCACAGTCTGGTGGAAACAAGGGGAGGGAGAGAGAAGGAGAGGAAGAAGGATGACACAGAGAGACATTGAAAATGGGATGGCAGAAAAAGGAAGACAGATCAGGAGCAAGAAAAGAGAGGAGTGGTGGAACGAGAAAGCAGAAGGAGAAAAGGGGGGGAAAGAAAAGGGGGCATAGGTGGGGAGCGAAAGGATGGTCAAATTAGAGAAAGGAAGAGAGAAAGAAGAAGCAGGTTCTGTCCACTTTCCACCCACCACTGGCTTCTTCTCTGCTCCGCTTGCTCCCAGTAAAACAAGTGTTCACACATATATGCTGTGACCCACTTTGGATTGCAGCTGTTGGCTGATTCACTCTCCCTCCCCTTCTCCAGGAATACGAAACTAAAAGCCACCTTTTGGCTGCTCTCTGTTGCCAGGCATGTACGAGCAGAGATCATTGCAGCTGGGAAAAAGCCAGCAGTAACCCATGCTGGCATGCTCTGAGCCACCATGTCTCCTGCTGGCTAGGGGAGGCAGGGCCGATGAGTTAGCAAGCGCCCGAAGGAACTCTGCTTGTGAGCAGTGCTCGGTGCTTCCAGGGGTCGGGCAATGCTTAACCGCTGGCGAGGCTTCCCTGCTAACTGATTTATGGAGGTGGATGGATGGAGCCAGGCTTGACATGTACACTTGGCTTGTCTTCGCCTGCACAGTGGTGAAGCTCTCAAGATGACGCAGCATCAGAAAAACATTTGATTTCTCAAGCCTCCCCCTTTCCTTCTCTCTATTTTTCACTCCTGTCTAAATTTTGAGAGAACAGTTTTGAGGAGGCAGGAGAAGTCTACAACTTTTACAAGGCACAGAACCCTTTTTGAAAAATAGGATAAGGAAGAAAAGGACACCAGTCAGGGTTGATGGTGTTACCGGCATTAGCCAGTCAGCACCAACGGCATTGCAAATATTAGTCCATCAAGAAGACAGCATAGGCATTATCTGATTAAGGCCAGTAGTGTCACAGACACAATTCAGTCAGCATCAGTGGTACTGTTATCACATTATGTATCTGTGACAGTTTACCGCAAACCTTGGCAAATTCCTGCCTATCCTATACTCAACCCTTCACAATTTAGTTGGACAAAGAGGGAAGAATTGTCTTTTAAATAGATCAGATATCTTCCAGAGAACATCTTCACCATGGACATTTTTAGAACGGATTCTCCATTTGGGTTTTATCCTTCCTTATATGTGACTGCAGGGAACTGCCTTTATTAAAGGCTGTATTTTTATTATTTCACAGATCTGCAATGGTAAAAAAATCTATCTGTCTCCATCCATATGAAGGCTTGCAAAAAAAGAAAAAGAAAGAATGGTGCCATTTTTTATGCAGCCTTTGCCCATAAACTCCAGCTGGGTTTTAGGAGTGTCAAGAGAGCGTTCAATTATACTTAGGCCTATATTTTTATTAGAGATATGCCACACAGCCCACTAGGGACTTGAACTCTGAGAAATGAGCCTGTCTCAACTTGTGAACTTATGAAGACTGGATCATTAGGTCTGAGATTAACAGCGGGTCGTAAACTATGTTACGGCACACCTCGATAAGGATATCTCCAAGAGCAAAAGAAAGGAGGGGGTGGACAGGTTGTGGGAATGACCTGTGGATATGTGTGTGTTTGTGTGTGGACATCACATGATGACCTTATTCCTCGCCTAGAGTGTTTCAGATGGCAGATCAAAGAAAAACATACTGTACATCCAGATATTATACAGCCTACATGCCTTGCATGCAGAAAGCTAGTGTACTGAGAACCCTTCTCCACGACTCATTAACATTCTTTTCATAGTGAGTTTCTTTGAAGTGGGTTCCTTTGTCAGACAGCATTTAAAGAGAGAACCCCAACCTTGTGATCTTTCCCCATTCAGCAAGAGCCATGTTATCCTGTTCACCTGATACAGGCAGGGGTGGGGGAAGAATAATCCTTCAGAAATTATTGGACTCTGGCTCCCATGAGCTCCGGCCCGCGTGGGCAACAGTTAATGGTATCCCAGTGACATCTGGAGGGCCACCCGTTCCCCATCCTTGGGATCAGGTATATTTGTCCTAATTCAAGAATACGGTCCACATCACCAGGGAGGATGAGTTCCCTGCCCTGCCAATCACATGTTCCTCCATTAAATACTTGAGCATGGACAACATTGGGGTTGAGCTTGATGGGTTTAGTCCATTCTGACTAAATGGCAAGAAGGAGGAAAAGGCCATAGCTTGGAGTTCAAACGGTTGCCTTAGATGTCCCATGGTTCAATTCCTGACATCACCAAGCCCTTTGGAGAACCTAGCATTGGCGGGTGGGTGGGTTACATTTATATCCCACCTTCTTCCCAGTCCAGGACAAGACAGTCCAGACCAGTGGACTTGAGACTTTAGACCAGCCTATCTGATGGACCCTCCAGATGTTTTTGGACTGGAGTTCCTATAAACCTCAGCCAAAATGGCTAATGGCCAGTGTCCAAGACCTCTAAGCCAGACTAGAAAATGAGTTCATTTCCAACACCAGGATCCATAAAATAGAATGGCGTGTACTGCTTTATATATTTACAGTATATGTGTGTGTGCAAAGTTAAGGGTTGCAGAAAGCTTGGGGAGCATAGGGAAAGCCATTTTTATTGACTGCTGGAGGCAGACCGAGGTGAGAAGGGAAAAAGAAGACCTACAAGCATGAATTAATGAGCATAAAGCTCCTTGGCATGGTGGTGTCAAGCTAGGATGGGGGAGCTGATACGTCTGTCTCCATCTCTGCTTAAGTCACGAAGAAGCGAATTTATTTAGTTCGTGCTGCAAAATAAAGGAGGGATAAAGGAGGGGGCAGAAAAGAAAAGAAAAGAGCGAAAAGAAGCTGGTGAATAAAATTTATAGGCTTGAAGCAGAAAGTGTTTTAATGTTTTTTTCTCCTTTTTATTTATTGTTCTTATATTTTACTTATTAATTTTTAAATCTTGCTTTTATAAAATGCCCCCAGAAATATCAATGAAGAGTGGCAAGTGTCTTGCGTCTAATCAATCTAATCTAATTTAAGTAGTAAATGACCTAAAGATCATGCAGCCTTAATTATAATATAGGGCAGGTAATTATTTGGCAAGAAGGGGAACCCATAACTAAGAAGAGGGAGGGTTTTGTTTCCATTTGTTTTCCCAAAGAATTTAGCGAAATCTTCGCAAGTGGGGTGGAAAGAATTTGAGTTTTGCTTTTTGTTTTTAATTTTTGGGGAGAAAGCAAAACTGACAGATTCTTATCTAGGCCTGTGGCTTTGAATGCTGCACTCTGCAGATGAACCTCTGTGTATTCAATCCATGTAGAACATAGTCATTGCTGAGAAGAGCTATACCTGTACAATTTGACCAGTGCGGATGGTTGAGGATTTAATTTCAGTTCCCCCCCCCCGCCGCCACCCAGAATGTGGAAAGAATAGGAGGTTTGGGGGCAAAACTATAGACATCAGGAGAAAGTGAAATGGACAGAATGGCTGATTCTTCCAAATCTGCTCCTTTCAAGTTTTGTGCTCTCTGATACTTGGAAACTGTCTTAGGAAATTGAGTCAGACTTTTGCTCCGTTCGGTACCGCACTGGTAGCAGTTATTCTTCACTGATTCTTTCCTTGCCTGGAGGCCCCTGGGTTTTCCCGGCTGGTCTCCCCGCTGTGGGCTAAGCTAAGCGCCTCTTCCAAAGTCAGACCCCTGGGCTCTGGAAGGCATGCGGGTCTCCCTACCTTCTGCCCCCACTCACCTGTGCACGTTCTCTTGTCCTTGTGCAGCTGGTAACCGATCTGGCAGCTGCAGTAATACCCGCCCAGGTAATTATGGCAGCGATGGTCACAGAGCGGCTCCCCGTCGACCTCCTGTTCACATTCGTTGATGTCTGATGCAGAGGGAAGGAAGGAAAAGAAAAGAAAAAGAAAAACCTTTGCTCAAACTTGGGGACAAAGATGCACAATCATAATGGTGTACAGTAGGACCCTCATATCCGCATGGGATGAATTCCAAGCCCTTCTGTGGATGCTGTAGAAGGCGGATAGTAGTGAACGGTATACATAAAATGTTCTCTGGCATACTCCAGTGGCCAGTTCTGGTAAGCTCATCTGTAGAAATACATATTTCGAGGATTTTTCTTACAATATTTTCAGACCTGGCTACTAATCGTGCAGATAAGAGGGTTCCTCCTGTACTATCAAGTCCATCCCAAAACCCTGCCAGGGTTTTCCACCTCTAAAGTATTTGGAGGATTATTTTACCAGTTCCTCCTCCTGGGGTCGCTCTGGAACCACCCTGCCACTTGCGCAAGGCTGCACAGGAGTCAGGGCACACAAAACCTCCATCTGCAGCGTGTGTGCATGCTTCACAGGATCTTGGCTAGCCCCTATCTCAGAAGACACAGAGAGGAATCAAACTGATGGACCTTGGATCTGCAGCCAGGCTGCTCCCCACTCAATGAGCATGGGTGGATGAAGGAATAATTCGCACCCATAGCAGTCACTGTTGTGACATACCAGTGTGTCTGCTTAAGTATCCCAGTGGCAGGTTCAGCCCTTTATCTCCTATTCAGTGACACGTAGAAGCCTGCAAACCCTGGCCGGAAAATCTTGGAACCTGGAATCTGAAACGCACTGTGAAGTCTAATTAAATTTTCCATAGAACGAGAGGCATAAGCAGAAGTGCCGACGATGGTATTCAGAAGACCCTGTTCTTAATAATGGTCTTGGCTATTTACAAGCCCCTGATTTATCAGATGGGCTTTATGTACGAGTAAGATACATCAAGTGCCGTCAAAGTCAGTTCAGACTTACAGCGACCCTTTTAAGGGTGTTCTAGGTAGAGAATGTCCCAAAATGGTTTCCCATTCCCTTCTTCTGGAGAGGGGGATCCCTGGGACAGTGCAGCTTGCCCAAGGCTGTTCAGGCTGGTTCTCCTGGGAGTCTCAGCGGGGAATCGAACTCACAACCTCTGCAGCCAGAGACCTAAATCTATTCAGCCAGGTCTCTGTAAGACTAAACCTTTTGATGTCTGACTGGGTGGCCATCTCTCTTGTGTATGTTTTGATAAAGTCATTGCTGTGGGGAGACTGGCTTGTTGCAGACATTCGGTGCTTCTTACGGAACATCATGGTCTCTCACTGTGGATGTGAGCAAGGAAAGCCACCTTCCACCCCCCACCACCCCTCACCTTCAGCAGCGAAGAAGGCTTCAAAGCCAGTGAACTCTTTCTCGTTGGAGTAATCGGATCGGAAGGTCACCGCTAAATTGTTGTCGACCGAATAGTACGTCTTGTCCCCTGGGGCTTCCTCAGTGTCGGTGCTCTGATGCCCACACAGGGTAGCCAGGATTTTCCCAGCTGAGCGCAGCTGTGGAGGAAGTGGCCAGCGGAAAAGGAAAAAAGGTGTCAGGAGCTGTTGGAGGTCTTCCCTCATTTTCAGTGGACTCAGCACTGCTGCCAGAGTGAGCCCCAGATTATACCTAAAGAGACTGATCTGTCTATTAAAAATGGCATCTTTAGCTGCCCTCAATCCTCTGGAGATCTGTGTTTTATTTCTGCTTCCCTCAAAGTGAGGCATGCATTTAGAGGATGGGCAGAATGGCCTGGGATATCTATTGCAAACTCTGGAATTATCACCTTCCCCAGCTCCTCAAAACATGACTTTTCGCCCATCTTGTTCAGTGTGGCCTGCTCTGAAATCAACTTCTGGGAGGTCGTTTCATTCATATCTTGGTAGCCACACTTCCACTTTAAAACAAGCTGCACGAGGAATACACGCCTTGTTTTAAAGCCTCCAGGAGCATGATCCTCCTTTAAAACAAGCTGTGTACTCACTGAGCACCTTGTTTTAGCAGAGTTTTTTTAAAAAAATATTTTTCACAGTTGCTGCAGAAATGCCCCCTCCCCAAAAGGCAACCAAACCCTAAACTTAATTATGGAACAAGGTCAAATTGTTTGCAGCACCTGCCGTTCCACATACTTTCACGTAGTCGTATTCGCACTGGTGGGAGAGCTCCATGTTGAAATGTGTGAAGTATATCCGGATGGCATAGCCAGGGGGCACTGTAATATTCCATGTCCTCTCTTTGCTGTTGGGATAGACGTTTGGGAAATCAGGGGATGCAATTCTCCCATACAGTCTTTCTAGCTGAAGAACATCTCCAAGCACCCCGTTGCAAAAGAGGATGATGAAGAAGCAGCAAAGTCTGTGGGAAGAAGAAAAAAGTGGGGGAAAGTAGCAAAGAGCATGCTTGATCTTCTCCCTATGACTGTGGTCCCCAACCTTGGATAACCTACATGTTCTTGGACTGAAACTCCCAGAAGCCTTTGCTTTCTGTAAACAGGTCAGCCCTGTAGAAAAGGGCCCCATGCTGGGAAGTTATCCCTCCCACCTTCATCTCTGAATGGAAACAGGAAGGGGCAAGGTCTGCTTAAAAGTTCTTGGCAGATATGGGCTGTGCTCTGCCTTTCACGATAGAAGCCAATCGCCCCTCCAAACGTACAGATTCTGTGTCCAGCAATGATTAACAGTGGCCGATAAGAGCTCCGATAGAAGCAGAAACCCAGTGGACTGAGCTCTTCTCTCTAGGCTTGGGCAAACTGACTGACAGTGCCCCATAGACCAGCCCTGTGGGGCCCCCACAACCGTGCATGGTTTGGGGGGGCAAAGGCTTAAGGCTGCCCTCAGCAGAAGGAGCCATCAGGCATCTTGGAGTGGCAAAGCAATGTGCCATCGGAGCCAGTGATCCCCAACCTTGGGGTCCCCGGAAGTTCTTGGATGACCACTCCTGGAAGCCTTCCCCCACGAGCTGGGCTGGCCAGGATTTCCAGGACTGGTCGTCCGAGAACCTCCAGGGACCCACGGTTGGGAGGATGACCACTCCTGGAAGCCTTCCCCCATGAGCTGGGCTGGCCAAGGATTTCCAGGACTGGTTGTCCGAGAACCTCCAGGGACCCAAGGTTGGGAGCCATTGATTCCATAGACCCCCCTCCCTTTCCTGAAATGGTTAAAGCCAACCTCTCACCTTGCCTGAGCAGCCCATGCAAGCCACACTTCAGGGCAGAGCTTGGAAACGTTACTTATTTTTTACGGGGGGGGGAACCACACCAGCCAGCATTAGAGTGGCTGCAGTGGTCATTCTTCCCATGTGCCCTGACATAGTTATGGTATTGCCTTGTTCTTCTCCAAGTTCACAAAAGACAACAACATGGGGACGGAGCATGGGAACACTCGGGGCACCCTCGGGGCAAATCATGGCCGATCTTTCCACTCCAGAAAATTGGCAGCAACCCCAACACCCAGCCCTTTAGACCAGTGGCTCCCAACGTTGGGTCCCCATAGGTTTCAGATGACTGCAACTCCCAGAAGCCTTCCCCATGAGCTGTGCTGGTCAGGGCTGCTGGGAGTTGTAGTCCAAGAACATCTCTGAATTCAACCTACCTCATTCCTGAGAAAACATCCTTGCCATTTTTCACCACGTTTCTGTGACCCATCGCTGTCCTTGGCATAGGAAGGCGACCAGGAAAACCTGTCCTCCTGTTGGTTCAGATGACTGCAACTCCCAGAAGCCTTCCCCATGAGCTGTGCTGGTCAGGGCTGCTGGGAGTTGTAGTCCAAGAACATCTCTGAATTCAACCTACCTCATTCCTGAGAAAACATCCTTGCCATTTTTCACCACGTTTCTGTGACCCATCGCTGTCCTTGGCATAGGAAGGCGACCAGGAAAACCTGTCCTCCTGTTGGTTTGTCGAGGTACCACGTTTCTGTGACCCATCGCTGTCCTTAGCATAGGAAGGCAACCAGGAAAAGCTGTCCTCCTGTTGGTTTGTCGAGGTGTGCGTGTGTGTGTCCAAATTTTGATCTCCCAAGTTTGTGTGTGTGTGTGTGTGTGTGTGCGAATTTTGATCTCCCGAGTGTAATCTTGTTCTGTCCCTCTGGGTCCAGGAAAGCCGAAACCGTTTTGTGAGAAACCCGACGGATCAGCAGGAGCGAGCGTGTGGTTCTCCCTTCAGTCCATTCCTTCCTTCCTTCCTTTTCTGTCACCCTCTGTTTCTTACTCTCTTGTTCCCGAGAAAGAAAGCGAGGGCCGAGGGAGACGGGAAAAACACACCTTTGCTGTCTGTTGCATTGAATTCTGAAACCTTCACAGAAAGGCCGGGTTGAGCAACTGACTCCGTGTTTGTGTTGGCATCGAAATCAGAGTCAGGGAGATAAAAGGGGTGGGGGAGGTACCGGGAAGTACAGGATTTCTCTCTTTTTCTGGAAGACGAGGCAGGCGAGGGGCTGGAGAGGTATTTAGCAACGTCAGGTCTGTTTTGTCAGTTGGGCCTTTCCCGTTCTTGTGCAATGTGGGTAAGTAAACACGAGGACAGCCTCCCAGCCTCCTCGGTTTTGCGGAAGGCAGGCAGGCAGGCAATTCCCACTTCTGTTCCAAAATATGCATCATGCTAGCAATTATGAATGGTGCCTGTATCTAAATAAATCAATGGCGCCTGAATTTAATCTGTTGAGCAGATCTATTGAGATCTGTAGAGCAGATCTATTGAAGCGGTAGCTGAAGGCTGGCCCAACACTTATGTGTAAGTCCTTTTGATTCAATGGGTCTTCTCTTTTTGGGACTCCCAATGGGACCGAGGCCTCAATATTACTCAGTTCCGTCAACGTTGGGGATGTCAATGTCATCTTCTTACAGTCATTGCCACTTTTCCATTTATTTATGTGTTCACTGTATTTGTGTTGGGCCTTTCTGCTGATCAGCTCCAAGGGAGATATCCGGCTCTTTTCCTCTTGACATTATCCTCACAATGATCCTGTGAGGTAGGACAGGCAGAGGGTATATGAGCACAACTGAGGTCATGCACTGGGTTTTACTGAGAGGCATAAACCAGCACTTGCCAACATAGTTATATATAAATATAAAATATAATACTTCTTTAATCCCTTTTTAAAATATTTGTGTCCTTACTGTTTTTAGCTTTTAAATATTGTCTTTTAATTGTTGTAAGCTGCCTTAGATCCTTTTAATTTTAAATAAATATAAATATAATATTGGATGGACGGATGGACAGACAGACAGACAGACAGACTCCTGTCTGATTCAAATGCTACAGAGGTTCCCAGATTTTTTGACAGACAGCAGTTTAAATATATACCACGATCCTTACTCCCCCATGTCCAGGAAATCTAATGGAAGAAGGAATTCCAACCTGTGACGGCTGCCAGCTCCTGGTCTCTTACTCAGGAGATGAACTTTATCAAACGATCTTGTAATTACCCTGCCAGCTTATCACAGTCAGCCTGCGTTATCGGAGGTGTCTTTCTGATGAGGCAGCAGAAGCTGCCTGTCGTTGACGAAACCACATGGCAGAACAAAGATCTGAATTCAAGTCTCCCCCCTCCTAGTCTCGTTCTTCCCAACAGTGTGGCTGATGTATCTCAGTGCTCACTGGCCAGGGATGATGGGGGCTGTAGTTCAACAGCAATAGGGACCCAAGTTTGGGAGATCCTTACGCCAACCACAGGATTGCTCTGCATGTCTATATAGCCTCTGAAACACCCTCTTTCTCAGGTCTGTGAAATATGTTCAGTGGAGTGTCTCTCCCCTGCTTACACTTGTACTTGGGCGATGCTTGGCACATTCAGCAGCTCCTACCCCCATGTGCACCATCCAGAGGCGACACTCTCCACTTCAGGGAATTTCTATATTTCCAAAGAGAATTTGCTCTCCTCACTGTTGTGTAGCAAAGGAGTGGGTGGGTGAGCCTAAAAATCATATTTTACAGTGGATGGTGAAGAAGGAAGGAACAGAGGGGAGAAGGGCTGCGGAATCTGTCCAGGGTCCTGAAAGCCCAATCGGTTTGCCTTGTTTGTTGACCATAACTTTGAGCTGGCCACCTCTGCCTTCCCGTTCCAGGAATCTGGCTAGCAGACTTGACTTTTTCCTCTTCGTCCTTGGTCCACCCATCTGCTAAGGAGGGCGGACTCCGCCACCTTTTCCTTCTGGAAAGGGACTCTAAGGATAGGATTTAAAAACAAGATGATATACACTGGGGACTTGGAAGAGTCCAGCAAGCTCAAAGCAAAGCCCCATCTGGTCCAACGTCCTGTTCCCACAATGGCCCCAAGGAGAAGCCCCCTCTCTCCAAAAATGGGGAGCTAGAAATCCCCTTTCTCCATAGTCCCATTTATGGACCAAAGGTCTGCCTGAATGGTGATGAAAAGACATCTGGGGAGAAGCTCAAAGCCAGGAGCCTCTATGGGTATCTCAGCAAGACAATTTAGTGCTCCCTCTGTGTGTGTGCGTGTGTGTGTGTGTGTGTGTGTGTGTGTGTGTGTGTGAGAGAGAGAGAGAGAGAGAGAGAGAGAGAGATTTTGCTTTCAACTCAGAAGAGGTGGTGAAAAAGGAGAAGAGGGCAAAGGAAGAGGAAGGCATGGTTTCAAATCAAAAGGATTTTCTGACATGGGCGAGACAGCCACTCAGAGCGAGCAATCAAACTGCTGGGTTTTATTATATGTGAGCCAGAGAAGTGGGAGATGTTGGGAGGTCAGGTTGTCGAGAGATGAGAAAATAAGCTGTATCGTGGTGGTGTTGGGGGGCGGTGGCGGGTGGAACGACTTCATGCTAAACGACACAGCAAAAGAGGGTGAGCGAACACTTTTAAGTCAAAGAGGGCACCCAGAGATGCACCGTGCCTCTTAATGGGGTCTCTGTTGATGGAAGCCAGGTCATGTTTTCTTCTCTGATGGAGGAGAGCGTGGCCGTTGTTCCCTAGAAGGGGTGGGTAGAAGATATGGGTGGCTTTTAAACCTGGAGGGACTCTGGTCACTTGGAAAAGAAACAGCTTTCTCTTTCTCCCTCTCTCTTTTAAATAGCTCCAGTCATTAGTGCAGTGCTAGGCTGTAATCACGATTGTCCTCCTAGCCAGGAAACCGAGATGAGTGCAAAAACACAGCTCATTTCATTGACCCGGAGGAATTAAAAACATTCCAGGAACAGATCTTTTGTAAAAGCAGCAGCTCTTGATGGGCCATTCAAGATTAAGCACCTGCTTTCTGTGCAGGTATTCAGGTGAAACCCTCGGCTTCTCCAGACTTGGGAGGAGGGAGGGAATCCCACCTCAAAATGGGAAGAGCCATTGGCATTATCATCAGCTGTGCTCAACTGATCCTACAGAGCTAAATAGACCAAGAGTCTGACTCAGCGTCCTTCTTTAATGTGGTGTTAAACTGTGGAACTCACTGTCACAGGCTGGTCACCCATTTGAATGGATATAAAAGAGAAATTGGATAAATCCATGGAGGAAAAAAGTATGAAAGCCAAATGCTAATACCTGTGCTTGAAGCTGCCTGCCTGCCATCTCCATTGGCTGGCAAACAGCAGAGTTTGCCATCCTGGCATGGTGGTGGCCATCCCATCAGGACCTGTGTTTACAGAATAGCGGACCTTTGGCCAGATCCGAGTGTAGGACTCGTCTAACTTTTCATGTGCAGGGGAGGGAAGGAGGGAGGTGGAGGGAAAGGTGATTTAAATCTTTAATCCCTAACTATATTGCCCGTGAAAATCAAACACACCCACACTGAATTTTGAGAAGAACAAATACCATCTCCAAGCACGGATTGGACATTATGTGGATGATGGCCCTTGTAGCATGCCATGAGAACAGAGAGGAGCTGGATGGATTCCCTTCCCTTCCAGGGCTGAGCTGATGAAAAATTGGATTAAAAAAACCCTAACCTTATCAAATAGAGGTGACATCCAACTTGGCTAGCATTTGAACCACGCTTGCTGTTGTGAAATCTAGTCGAGCCCAAGGCCAGCTTGGATTGGAACCAAATGAAGCACGCTGGCAAGGGATGTGTTGGCTCCCACATCTTGATCTTCAACAGCTGGACAGCCCCGACAGCAAAGACCGGTCCTTAGGAATTTGGAAGGGGGCCTGAGATGTTCATGGTACATCCATGCTTGATGCTCAGTCCATGTTGTGTGGGAGCCAGTATTGGCACACTGCAGTGCACGAGCTATATCAACAGTGCTACCCTGGACACATGCTGATTTCAGAGGTTAAGCAGGATTAGGCCTGGTTAATGGTTGGATGGGAGACTATCATGGGATACCAAGGATGTATGAAATGTTCTGCTACATTTGTCACACAAGGTTGGGAATCATACAGCTGTCCAGATGTTATTGAGCTAACCTCCCATCAGTGCAGCCAGCTTAGCTGTTGATGAAGTATGAGAAGCATTAGTAACATCTGGGCAACCCCACGTTCCACATTCCCCTTTTGCTGAAATATCCGGAACAAGCCCAAAGGGAGCTGTCCAAGGTCCCAGAATGTAAATAGTTCAACTTCTGGAGGCCAAAGCTTATCCAGTGTTGGCTTACAGCAGGTGGTTGGCTTAGTCCAGATGTTTTGGACTACCACTCCCACGATCCTTCATCACTGGCCACATAGGCTGGGGATTCTGAGATTAGAAGTTCCAGACATCCAGAGTGTCAAAGATTCAAGACATTCAGAAGGCCATTCCTGGGTTACAGCATCGTGGAAGTAGAGCCCATCGTGGGAAATATTTGTGAGCATCCTTCCAGAGACATTTCACCCAACCCTCCAGCTTAGAAGGTTGAGAAAATCTGGGCAGATTGAAGGAGAAAAGGGTATTATTTGCCCATGCTTTGCACATTCCAGTTTTCTTCCCTCCTCCTCACGTTTTTTTCTCCTGAAGCGGAGGCCTGGCATGTGAGTGGCAGCCCAGTAAAAGAACTTGACATTTTTTCACCAAAGTACAGGGCTGTCATAGACTCAGAAAGATGGAGAACCTTTGCTTCTTTTCTCTCCACCCCACATACGCTCCGCCGCTCTTGTTCCTCAGAACAATCTCTGAAGTGTATAATGGCAATTTCACACATCCAGGACAAAAGATCTCGGGGCCAAGTGGGTGGATGGCATTTCATGGGCAAGCACCAAGTAAAACAGTGGCGCATCCAGCCATGAAGTGGGAATCCCACACTGTCAAAGCCGGTGGAATCGGTGGGCCCTTTGAAGCATCAGAGAGCGGATGGGTGCTGCTTGAGCAAATCTGTGAATTCTCAGAAGAATGGGTCTGATCCCCTGCTTTCCTGGGGCTTTCCATATCATAAGAGTTAGATTTCGGGAAGGGTATCCATTTGTTTATTATGTGTGTGTTTTCC